GCCTCAACCAGACTGAGCACGAAGGGCTCAGCCAGACTGAGTTACTTAAAGCCTCAGCCAGACTGAGCACGAAGGGCTCAGCTATATTGAGTTACTTAAAGTAGGTCTATGCTCTTACGTTTCTCAACATTCTTTACATTTTTTAACTGTCATTTCCCAACCCAAACGTTCCTTCCTTAACACTCTGACCGCACGATTTAACATTTCAAGACTCTCACATTTCAAGGCCTTTACATTTCAACATTTTCATATTCTTTGCGTCATAGTTTTCTCACAAGCTAGAAGAGCCCATACTAGGTCATGATTTGAAACTTCACGTTTTTTAACATTCTCATATTTTAAACTTCACTTTGCGTTATGACTTTCTTACATTTTAAAATTCACAATGATTTATACACAAGCCTTATGTGAATGACCATTCTCACTCTTTTCAGACCCACAAAATATAAAGACAATAGTATGAAAAATACAACCCATAATTTTATTTATTCACAAACTTATACATAAGTTTACTACAGCAATTACAAAAAAAAAAAAACAACAACAAACAAAAACAACAAAAACCAAAATTTTATTTACAAATTTTGTTCACACCAGTCACTCATCTTCACTTAAGACAAGCTCCTCTTCATCCACGCCCTCGTCTAGGGGGGTCTGGGCCACGTCGTCTTCGTCTATCTTTACATTGCTAAAGTCCAAGTCTGGGAACAGCTCTTCTGCTTTACGCTTGAAAGTCTTCCAGCAGTTGTCCCAGAACTCAGCCATCTTATGTTTGTAGAAGTCCGACCGCTGGAAGCTCTGGATCACTTCTTCTTCACTCCTGCTCCCAGCGGTCGCTCCCGACGGGCCAGCCCCCCCCCAGACCCCTCTCTTGCCAAGTTGTTGGCGATCGCAGCATCGATAGCCATCCGGAAATCAGCGGACCCCTTGAACTGCTCTACTGCTGCGACACATAAGTTGGGGTACGCTACCCTCTCAGAGGCTAACTTGGTCTTTTTTTCCTCCAAAGCCTTCTCCAACCCCGCCTTCTCCTCCATTGACTTGGCCCGCTCGTCTGCCAACGTCCTCTCCAGCTCAGCGATCTTTAGATCTGCTTCTTCTTTTTCTTTGATCGACTAAGCACAAAGATCTTCGTTACAGGTCATGGCCTCATCCCACCGTTTGTTGGCGATGGTGCAGGCTTTTTGGGCCTCTTCCAGCTTCTTCCGCTCGCCAACCAGCTGGAACTCGAGCGACACCACCTTGCGGCGTTCCGTCTCCAACTCTAACTTCGTCGTGAGCAACTTAGCATGGACATGGTCAGCAACATTGCTCTGCACCATCCCCAACACTTCCATTTTCTTCGCCTTCTGGGGCCTCCTCCACCCCCCTGACATACGCACTCTGCGCGGTCTTCCGCCAGCCTGCGCTCTCCCTCTTCAAATTTTCAAGTTGGGCCTCCACCTCCTCCAACTTTGCCTTCAGTGGCCCCACCTCGCCTCTTGCAGCCGCCGCCTTCTTCAGTAGGGCCCCTGCTAAGGCGGTCGCCTCCATTTAGACAGAGCACAACCCCCTTAGCAGCTCAGCCTCAGTGAAACTGGCCATCGAGCGCACAACTGCGTCTTCCACTACTCCTAAGAGGCGATCTGCAGCTGTCCTGGCTGGGCCTCCTTCTCCCTCCGATCGCCCAGACACTACTAGAGCATGGTAGATGGCAGTCTTCAACTTGACCCCCTCTCTCTCTCCTTGGGGAACAGGCCCCCCCTTTGGCTGGTCGCCCCATCTTCAACTTGTTTTTCAGGGACGCTCACCCCACTCTTCATCTCCTTCGCCGCCTCCTCTAGTCCCACTTTGGGAGTGTCCTCGCCACCAACCCTTATCTTCTTCAAACCGGGCGCATCCTTAGCCCCCTCAGTGGCAACTCTCCTTTTCTTCGACTTCTTCAGTCCCGCCTCAACCTCTCGTCTGCCCCTCTCCTTCAGTGGGTCTATGGGTTGTGGTAATGGGGCAAACTCAGTCAGGTTCTTGTCCCCTAAAGGCTTAGGACGAGGTCGAATCCTCTCACTCGGCACCAACTTCGGAGCAGGCCCTAATTGTGTCTCCTTATATTTGTTCGCTCGGGCGAACAATCTTCTTTCCTCCTCCTTCTCCGCCTTCCGTTGCCTCTCTAACTGCTCCCTTGCCGGATCCTCCCCCAACGATTGTGGTCTCAAGTTCAGGGCAAACAACGTTGATGGAAAGACTAGCTCGTCCCACCTTACTTCATTCTTCTTCCTCCATTCCCTCACTTTCTTCACTCGGTCTTCGGCTGCCCCGTCCAACTTGGGTTCGACTGATTTGGTGGGGACCTTCCACGTTGTGTGAACTCCTGCCCCACCGTTCGCCGTCACAAAGAACAATCTCGGTCGTCACCCCTTTACCGACGATGGAAGACCCAGCACCAGCCCTCGCTCCGCCACCGCTTGCAGAGTCACCCAAGTCTCCTGCTGAGCAGAGGCCTTGTAGTAAGAGAAGAACTCCTCTACTGTCATTGCCGTCCTTCTAGTCGCCTACAGCCAGGCACTCGCGCAGGCCACTACTATCTTCCAGGCGTTCGGCATCAGCTACCCTGGCGCCGCCTCTAACTTGTTCAACACATCCACCACCACTTGGGGGAGAGGTAGCCTCAAACCCCCTCGCAACGCCTCATCGTACAAGCTGAATTCACTTGGCCGCACATCCGACGCCCTTTCTTTGGATGCGGGCAATCTTAACCCTATCTCCGAGGGTCCTTATTCCCTCCAACTCCTCCTTCATAAGTGTAGATCTGTCCGATTTGGTGTGCCAGTGGTCCGACTACACTTGATTAATAGGTTTCGCGGCTGCAATCATCATCCTTGGACGAGCCCGCACCGCCTCACCGATTACCCCTCCTTCCCTACGCTTCGCCCTGTGCTGTTCCGCCAAATCCACCGCATCGTCGTCGTTTAACGGATCAACCCTTGTGGTTGTTGCTTCCTTTTGGGCCATCTCTACTGTGTGTCTGCGAATGGCTTCGGATGCGGGCACAAGAAAATTCACGAAGTGTTGCAGGGGCGTATCACTGGCAATGAACGAGTTTACTTGTGGGATGTTTTGGTTTTTTGCGAAGAGATAGGTAAAACGGATAATACCAAAAGCCCAAGACTTGCCTGTATTCCAAAGGTCACAATTAAATTTTGCCAATTTGAAAATTTTCAAAAATCTGCCAAAACTGTCTTTTCAACACCCTATGTTAACTTATAGCTTCATTTCTTGCCCAACGCCTAACCTTTCCCATCATGGGATTCCACTACGTATACGCCCACGATCCACTGCCCCCTTTCCCCTTCCTTATCCATTCCACTTCACTTCACCACGTGCCCCGCCGCCCCTTGATCCCCGTGCCACACCACTCACCCTTCGAGGTTGACCCTCCTCATGGTCGGTCCCACCACTCGGTCACCCCTTCGTGGTCGACCCTCCTCGTGGTCAGTCCCTCCACTCGGTCACCTTTCGTGGTCGACCCTCCTCATGATCGGTCCCACCACTCGGTCACCCTTCGCGGTCGACCATCCTCATGGTCGATCCCACCACTCGGCCACCCTTCGTCGTCGACCATCCTCATGGTCGGTCCCTCCACTCGGTCACCCATCGCAGTCGACCCTCCTCATGGTCGGTCCCTCCACTCGGTCACCCATCGCAGTCGACCCTCCTCATGGTCGGTCCCTCTACTCGGTCACCCTTCGCGGTCGACCCTCCTCATGGTCGGTCCCTCCATTCGGTCACCCTTCCCGGTCGGCTCTCCTCATGGTCGGTCCCTCCACTCGGTCACCCTTCCCGGTCGGCCCTCCTCATGGTCGGCTCCTCCACCCGGTCGCCCTTCGCGATCACCCATCGCCGTCGGCCCACCCCTCGGTCGGTCTTCGCCCCGCCGGTCTCTCACAACCATCGTTTTCTTCCTTATTCCCTTCGTTGGACTAAAGCTGCACTCGGGAATGAGGGACTACTGACATGGGTAAGCCCATAAAAGATACAGCCCACCACTTAGGGCCTAATGCATAATTCAAATACTAAAGCCCAGCATTGCTGGAGCTCAACATGGCATCAAGAACCAATGACACTTAGATACATGGCAGGTGAATGACATGCCACATAAGTAGACAAAGATTCTGTAAAGTTATTGCACTGCACATCAGCCATTAATAAAGCCTCTCACAGCATTTATTGCGATAACCTCTCCCCGTCGAGACAAAACAGCCTCACCATGAACAAGGCAAGTTAGAACATAGACTTTCGGCCAAGATGGCAGGGCGGAAGGGACAACGAAATGATTACCAAACGATATAAGCAGACGTCGAAAACAAGAAGAAGATTAAGTTTTCTATCTCTAATCTATCTCCACTTTCCACCTCTCTTTCTAACTTGCTCGTCGGAAGGTTCGTTGGAGGACTCCCCGTTTCCCATTGAACTCTTGTGTAGGTCTTCTGGTGGGCTTGGAACCCCGGGCATTGATTTGCAAAGCGTGGATCAGTCCGACCCGTTCCATCTGGAACACGCTACATCATCAGGGCTTATCACGGGTCTCGTTTCGATAATTCGAACCGTTCAATATGTAGAACTCGTCAAATACTATATGTCTGTAAAAAATTATATTAATCGGATATCGATAGTTATTTCATTAAATTAGATTTATGTCAACCGTTTATTTTTTTACCATTCACTTTTTTTTAATACAAAATTGATTAATTATATCGTTATCGATATCTAATAACATAATTTTTCTATAAGTGTATAACACTCAACAATAATTTAGATTATTAAAACGGAACCTTTGACGAACCCATTCGAACTGGAGAGGAATCAAATCCATTCAAAAAAATTAATAATAATTTTCCCAATAAAGACAATGGTAAAAACTAATTAAAAAGCAATCATAATTAAAAAACAAAAACAAACAAACAAACTAATCAAATCATTATCATAGGAAAAACAAACAAACAAACTAATCAAATCATTACCATAGGAATAAAGTATTAAAATTGCAATTATTTTTTTTTCCTGTGTAGTTTTAATGGAAGAGAATCCATAATGGATCGCATGAGACCTGTGTACGTGACGCAGAAGAGCAGCGTTGCCACGCCGACGGGCGGCGGCGGAGGAGCTCCGGCCTCCCCCATGACCACCTCCCCCATGCGCCGCCATGCTCGGTCTGGTTCCACCGGCGTCGCCGCCGGCAACCTCAAGCGTCCTCACAACGCCAAAGCCGCCGCCCAAAGGCTCGCTCAGGTCATGTCCAATCAACAGGGTGGCGGCGGCGGCGGCGACGACGATGACGAGGAGGAGGACGACCTCTTGTATGACTACAGCCCCGCCACCTCCTCCGCCAGCATTGGCCTCGCCGGTGGAAGATCCGCCGTTGCTAGGCCTCGTCCCGCGGTAACAAATAACCCTTGCTCTTTTCTAAACAATGCAAATGTGTATATCTGTATGTATTTATATATACATATATATATGTCTGTGTAAATTGGATTTTGTGTTGCTTTGCATTTGATCGAAAAAAGTGATTGTTGTTATGTGAATTTGTACAGAATGATGCTATAAGTCTTGATTAACATGATTTATATATTTAAAATTGACACTGACACGTCTTTCTTATCAAAATCATATATGAAAAATCTAGAAAGAATTTGTACATAATATTAATACGGAATGATTTGATAAGTTTTGATTTCGTCAATTTAAAGTACCCATTGTAATGATTAATATTTAAAAAAATGAAACTGCCAGTATCGTTCTTATTAAAATTCTATTTTGTATAAATATCATTTTCCTTCATTTAATAAGCATGTCTATCTCGACATGAATCTATGTGTGTGTATTTTAATGTATTATGGGTAGTCATTGAACTAGGAATTCAGAGGCATTATGCACTTAAAAGGACTATTATGTAGTTTAAATTACTTCTCATATTGAACATTAGTTTCAATATCTCGAAGTTGTTTGAACCGTTATGCTAATGCTATTTATGTATATTAGGCTTACTCGAATTTTTTCACTTGTTTGTTAGTCAGTTCGTACCTCTGTAGACCAGACCAAATCAGGTGGCCGAATTATGAGTTCTGTAGAACAACCACCTCCATCATCGACTCATTCAACATTGACACGGCCATCTCCTCCCAATATTGTAGAACAACCTCTATCTGCTCGTTCTGCCTTACCTAGCCGATCATCTCAATCCTCCAACTTGGTGGAACAAGTACAACCTCCATCTGCTCGCCATAGTTCAGTTGGCCGATCATCGCTGTACTACTCCACGGAACAAGTAGAACCTCCATCTGCTCGTTCTGCATCAGCTCTTCGATCATCTCAATCCACCGGCTCCTTGGAACAACCTCTGTCTGCACGGTCTACCTTGGCTGGCCGTCCAAGTATAGGAGTTAAGATTCCTATGGTACCTCCTTGCATACCCATAAAACTGAGGCCACAAGCTTCTGTCATTTCAGCAGATGCTCCTCCTGATACTCGAAGGGATAAAAGGTACATTGAAGTATTGAACTTTCTTAAACTTGAGTATGGAAGAGCACATTGAGCTTCAATTTTTTCTTTGTTCTTAATTTTATTTAATTCAGCATTTTTTTGGCTAGGAATGAACCTCAAAGTATTTTGTGCTTAAATGTTAGGTTGGTTATCATTCATGTTTGTTATATAATATCTTTCACAGTTTTTCCATTTTTTTGGGTAAGTTTCGAATTCATCTTTGATCTAGAAGAAGCATTTAAAGGGTTATAGACAATTTATTTTTCCTCATTCGAGGTTTATTCTTTACTCCATGGCAAGGTACTGTGTCTTCATACTGAACCAAAGAATTCTTGGTAACAAACTATGTTCTTAAATTTATATGATCTTCCATATAAGATAACACATAAATTTAGGTGAAATTAGCAAGGTTTTAAACAAGAATGTGTCGTATGTTACCAAGTTTGAATCTCTTAGCTGTTTCCCTGTTAGTGATTACTGAAGGCTTTAGTTTCTGAAGTAGCTTTAACCACTGTCCTTTTATAATCTTTGCTATTACATGATTGCACAAACTGATTGAGTATTCCATTGTCAAGTTTTGAAGTTTATTCAAAATGTTATTGAGTTTTCCAAATTGGTTCCTATTGCTTCGGTTATTGTTTCTTACATACATATTAATCTTCCCTTCATTTGGTTGATAATCAGGTTGTCTCTAGATATGGGAAGTATGAACTTTAGAGAATCTGGTGTTCAGCGTTCTACTTCTGCTCTACAGGATGAGGTAGGGCCACCCCTGAAGCTGTTACATTGAGTGCTTTTGAGGCCCAAGATATATTCCTATCTGTTAGGAAGTTTAGAAGTTGTGCTCTTAGGGTTATAAACTTAACGTACAGGGATATAATCAATGTTCTTGCTTCTTTTCTTCTCTTTTCCCCCTCTTACTAGAAATACCTTTAATGAGGTGTCCATTCACATTGCAGCTCGATATGCTACAAGAAGAAAATGAAAGTTTACTCGATAAGGTGATGCAAATTTTTTTTCTTCTCCTTGTTTTGTATATCAAGTATCATGTTTCAACTTAGGGGGTGTTTGGGAAGATGAGTTTGAGGCTAAAATAGCCTCAAACTAAAAAAAAGCCAAAAAGCTCCTAAATTAACACTTTATTAAAAAATAAAAAAAAAAATAGCTGCAACCGTGGGACAGTGTAGGCACAGCCTACACTGTCAAATTGACAAGTTGTCCCATCCCTTGGTAAATGACGATTTTGCCCCTTTACATTAATTTTGAAAAATGTGATGTTAGGGGTAAATTTGTCATTTTAACTTTAAACATCATTTCAACACATTTTTCAATACAACAACTCAAATAAAAATCCATCCCATCTTCCCAAACACAAAAACTAAAATAGCCAAAAAGTCAAAAAGCCTCTAAAATAGCCACTTCCCAAACACCCACTTAAGACTGATAAAAATAATACTTGAGCACATCAATCTTGTTTTAGTATATCCGTACTCTGATTATTGTTTGGATATAGGTGATGCAATAATAGCATGGAGAGTCTAACATGACCAATTAAATCTAATATTTTCATTGTGGATATTACTGTTATTTCATGGTCTCATTTAATGTGGTGTCCACTGGCTTGGGCATATAATGATAATGGTAGATTGGAGAATCGAAATAGTGATATTTTCATCATTTTTTTTGGCACTCCGTTGTGATTTCTGCATTCCAGCTTCGATTTGCAGAGGAAAGGTGTGATGAAGCAGAGGCAAGAGCCAGGCAGCTTGAGCAACAGGTAACTTTTTGCAGTCATCATTTTTAACCAAAATTTTGATGCTTTCCTCAGCTCTATTAGGTGATGTATTTCCGTGTGATGATTTATTGAATATGTTCAACTTTATCAATTATGTTTGAATGTGATTACCAAACCAAACTAAGCCTTGTAATTGTACTTACAGAAAATTCACTTATCTGCAATATAATGCATTTGTGAAGATGGAATGCGGACAATTATGATGCACAGAGCTTAATCACTGCTAAAGAAATAATGGTGTTCAATTTCTAAACTAATTGTTGTTGCATGGTAGCATGTTTGGCATATTGATTTTAAGATAAGTGAGATTTAAAGTTTACAATGAGGGAAATAACTGGGGAGTGGATCAATTGAACCATGTCTAATGATGGCCATTTATCTTCCATAGAGAGAAATCAAAAGAAAAAGACAGCCTCAACTGTACAGATATACTAACAAAGTTGATTAACTATTGCAGTTCATGAACATACCTATGTTCAAACGGCAGTCGTGGAATGTGCTTTTCTTGATTAAATTATTAGTTAATAGTTAATACGAGCTTTCTGTTGTAATTTGGCATTTTCTGGACGACACGTGCTATTCATGTTCCAATAAGACATCATTGACAAGGTCCATTTGAAAATCCAAGCTGTGTGTGTGTGTTTTATGTTATTCTCATTTAGCATGTCGAATTATCATTAGGTTGCTAATCTTGGAGAAGGTGTATCCCTAGAAGCCCGATTGTTGTCCAGGCAAGGATCAAAAACTTATAAATGTACTTATTATATTGTTATATCAAGAACTTATATTGTATCCTAATTTCTTATTTTCTTCTACTCTGCAGGAAGGAGGCAGCCTTGCAGCAAAGAGAGGTTTGTACTAACTACTAAGTACTGCTATCTATATGATTGATGACTCCGCTGCACTATATGCCAATGAACATTCATATCTTTATTGAAAATTCACACATGGGCAAATGGTAAATGGGAACTTAAACTGTTTCTCTGTGCAGAAGTGTCTGTTTCTCTGTGTTTGAGTTTTTGTTTCCACATGTTTCATGCATTTGTTTAATGATTCAGGTACAGATTTGCATTACATGTTTAACCACTTGCTACTTCAAGGGTTCAAACAATTGGATGCTTTATGAATATTCACATTTTGGATCATCATTTCACTCAGATGAATGGTTGGTCTTATTTTGGACATTTGTTTCTAGCATGTGATCCTTTTTTATATGCTGGCCCTGAGTAAGGCAGAACTTCACATCGGCTTGTATGGAGAGGGCGTGACCCATTATACAAGCAATAAATATGTTCAATTTCCAAGGAACTGACTTTTCCAATCTTCATCCTGTTTTGAACATTTATTGAAATATCACCTTTTCTTTTTTTCTTTTTTTTTTTTTGTTCTTTTTTTCAATTTTAACGACATCCCACAATCCTTAGAAAAAACTGTATTACCTTTGGTGTACCTATTCTGATAAATAGCAAATGTTTGTAGGTCACCTTCATCTTCAAGCACTCTATTTCCCTTCATTGGTCCTTAAGCATATAGGTTTAAAATCCCCATGTTTTCTATGGCTGACACTCTATTCCTGGAACAAGTCAATCCAATTGCACTGGACATGTAATACCATAGGTTGCTTATGATAGATCCTGCCATTGGTATTCAGTTAAAATCCTGGATGAGGAGTATTCTTCCCAATAATCAAATTAGAATTGAGATTTACAGTATGGCCTAAAATTTGCGATTGGTTCTGCTCATTTATTTACATTGATTAGATGGCCTAAGATTTGCAATTTGTCTTTCTCATCTATGATATGAACCACAGTCTCTGCGAAATCTAGATTTTTTTTTCTCTATTACAGTACCTAGATTATGATTTTGATTTTGAAGAAGTCTGTATGTTGCCGCTCTTTCTTTGTCAGGCAGCCCTTTGCCCCATGTTTCTTTAGAATAACATGGAGGACTATATCAATAAAGTTCTCTTTGAAACTCAAGGTGAAACACAGTTTCAGTGCATGGTATCCCAAAGTTGTTGAGCACAGGACCACCTCGTTAAGATAACACACATTTCCCTTTGTCCACAATAGAAATTGTTACAAGGTAGAGGGCTTGGATTACCTAGAGGAGCACATTTATGTGTGGATTGTAAGTCGTCTAAGGTGGCTAGAGATGATAGGCAAGAGAGATCACTGAAGGTGGAGGAGGAGAGAGCCAAGGCAATATTAGATAGAGAGAGCATGGCAGTGGATAATGCTTCTGAGATTGTTAAAGGACAATTGGAGTTGGCTTGTTCTTGCATGCAAGAGGAAGGTCCCCTTTTTTATAGGAGGATTGAACTATAGAGGCCAGCTCGCTTAGGTTAGTGCACATCATAAGGTTGCACCTATTACACCAATTAATAAGTCATTCTCTAACAATATGGGGCAAATTAAATAATTTTTTTTCCTTTTGTTTTTGTTTTTTCATTCTTTCCCTCCATTTATTTTGACTGAATTGGTATTTTCAAAAGTTTGATGCACAATACTACAGATGACAACACCATATATTTTGGTGATTTTTGAAGTCTAAATCACATTGCTATGTAGAGGTGGGGTATAGTTTGTGATCAAATTTCTTTTTGCAGGCTGCTTTGAAAGTTGCAGCACAAACATATGGTGGCAGAGGTGAAGATATTCAGTCCCTTCGGATGGAATCTGAGGTACTCAGGACTTGTATGTTTGTCCTTTCTATTACAATTTCCCATTGTCTTATCCTTCATAGATAACAATGTTTTGGTTTAGTCTAATTGAATTCTGTGAAAATTGAGTTAGTCTGCTAGGGAAGAAGCTGCATCTGCTTTGGAGCAGCTCCACGATGCTGATATTGAAAATAAATCACTTCGAATCATGACTCAGAGACTGATACTGTCTCAGGAAGAGATGGTTTGTATTCAATGATGGCTTATCTATGTCATTCTCTTATTGCTGCTCTTTGAAGTCAATATTTACATGATTCACAGTTTCTATCTTAGGAAGAAGTTGTTCTTAAGAGGTGTTGGCTTGCTCGATACTGGAGTTTATGCGTTCACCATGGTAAAGTGATTATTTTGTTAGTCTTCCAGCACATGAACTTCCATGGTTTTGTTCTTCTATTTAAATGCTGGGGTTGGTGCTATAACATTTGTATGATGAACTTTGGTCAATACAAATTCAGGACATGGCATCTGCAATTTTACAGGGCTTTTATCATTTATGATTCCATAAGCTGCATGTGAGTGTATTAGATCTAGGAGAATATAAGCAGTGTTATAGACTTCAATTTTACAGGGCTTTTTATCATTTATGATTCCATAAGCTGCATGTGAGTGTATGAGATCTAGGAGAATACAAGCAGTGTTATAGACTGTTTACTGTAAACCATAAATCAAGTAGAAAAGTAAATATTGGAAGGAATAGTTGTCACCATATATGGACAATTTTTCCTTCTCTGGTAAGAATTTCCAAGCTTTTTAAGTTAGTTTGGCGAATGCATTGCTGAAAAGTTCATGATAGTGAATTGTAGTAGTTAGAGATGACAAATATATATATCAAAGTTTGGAAAGCCATTCGTAACACCTGTATTAATTCATTCATCAGTTATAACTTCCTTTCCAGCTTGTATGATCTCCATTCTATTGCATACTTATGTTCACATTTTTTCTTCAGGGGTATGCCATTAAGTATTTTGCATGGTATATGTTTTATAAATTAAATTTTTATTTTGGTTATTTCTTGACATTCTGCTTCTTGATTGAACATGATCAGTGTATCCTTTCCCAGAAATTTGACCTACATCTTCCCAGGATCTTCGGTGTTTCATCTTGAATTACATTGTTCATTCCTTTGCACCAAAGGTGTTCATTGCAGATAAACAAAATATCTCAACCAATTTTCTTTCATCCTTTTATTTCTTTCTTTCTTTTTTTTTTTTTTTAAAAAAAAAAAGAAAAGCTAGGGGACTTTCTCTTCTCATTAAGAATCCCCCTTAAGAGAAATCTGATGAAACTGGGACCTTCTCTTTTCCTGCTTTCAATCTGGCAACTTCCAATATCTTATGAATGCATTTGCCTTCACTTCTAAATTTATCCTTTTTCTGACTTGCCGTGCATCCAAAATCCTGTACCACAAGATATGGTTACAAAATTTGTGCATATTTGTGCAGCTTGGTGACCACCCTTAATTATTTTTCCTTTGTACTATAGTCGGTAGAATTATATTTTGAACGGAATGTGAATTCAATAATTTGTAACTAATTACAAGATCATCAAATCATGCTTTTGTTAATGGACCAAGAAACTATGGTTTAAATGAAGTTTTGGTGCACACTTGATGAGCATTGCAATATATTTACAGGTATTCATGCAGAGATAGCTACAGCGAGACATGAACACTGGTCATCCTTTGCCCCTCTTCCTGTCGAAGTTGTTTTAGCTGCTGGACAGAAAGCAAAAGATGAAAACTCATTAGGTCAGGTTTTCTCTTCCATTGCACCTAAAAGATGAAATTTGATTCTGATTTCAACCATGCTGCTTGAATCCTTTTACTTGTTGCTCGGTTTTACTCATTTTTCATTTTCATTCTTCTCCTGAGCAGTGAACAACAATGCAGAGGAAAGGGAAAAGGTTCTTCATGACTTAAATGAACTATCTGCAGAGGGAAACGTCGAGAGCATGCTTTTAGTGGAGAAGGGTCTTAGGGAATTGTGTTCACTGAAGGTTCTTGTCTTATACTTATGCCTGATATGTTCTACAGGTTTATGTGTTTAAAGTTGACTACTTCCCAACTGTTGATGGCCCCAAATACCAATAAAGAAATATCTCCCCTCCCCTGTTCTGTCAAATGATTGATTGTTGGGAACTTTTTCATTCATTTATTTTTGAAATCAAACCATAGTAATAGTGCTAGCTTTGTCTTGCGTGTTGGTTTGGAACACTTTCAAGTTTTTGAGTTATGATTATTTCCTTAAATGGGGTCAGCTAAGAAAAACTAGTTTTGTTGGACAATTTTGTTTTTGAACTTTTATTTTCCTTTTGACATTTGTATCCCAATGCCACTCTACTTTGTGCACATTAAACCATTGTTTATTTATTTATATATCTATATTCATTCATGTACCTTATTGATTAATCGTTTAAAGGATGAGTACAATTCTCAGATTTAGGCCTCTAAAATTAGGACAGTCCCATGCTGAATTGTATGACAAACTGGCTTTTGTGGCGCACCAACCAAAGTTTATAATGTTTAATTTAAGTGATCTTTCTCCTGTAAATAGTGGTTCTGATATATTGTCTTTTTCTCAAAGGTAGAGGATGCCGTAGCAATTGCAATGGCTCAACATCGTCGGTCAAGTTCAGCGAAATCTGGTTTAACAGGTGTGAAGGGGCTTTGTCCATTTGTTGAATAATATGTTAAAACAGTGATCATTCTTTGTCATTCACTAATAGAATACACCATGTACATCATCTTTAATGTGTCTAGTTAACTCATCCATAACTGGGGATGACAATCGGTGGGTATGGATCGGCCCCGTACCCTAAAATTCCTTCTCCAGTCTTATTTCAGTCACCAAAATCATATCCACCATGTTGTTCAAATTTCACTTTTCACAAAATACACGACCATTGAAATCTCCACGTATATAATTACCTCATCTCCTATGGGTATCTATTGAATTAATTTAACTTGTTGATTCCAAAATTGTCTTTTAATATATTCATCTAATCCAAACTTGGGGTGTGTATGCACTAATTACATTGATTGTATATTCTCCAACTACAATTTTCAATTAGGCATTATTATGTTGTCTTTCCTTGTAATTTTCACCGCATAATCTTTTAGGTGTTTATCTACTATATTCCTACACCATTTCTATGTCTATCTTTTCAGGTATACTAAATTTTATAACCAATATCTTTCTTTGTTATTATGATTTAAGGGTGCTGGTTAACAAATTATGTGTTGAAAATGAGGTGTTTCCTTAGGTTGCTTTTTGTCTAGAGAAGATTCAAAATTTGTTCCCCCAATTACACGGAGTCCACAGATCTCTAATCAAGCATATTTAGATGATATAATTGGTTTGATGTAGTGAATCTTTTGAAGGCGCAGAGTTCACTCTTGTTATCACTTCTTCAAATTATTAATGTGATAAGTACAACCCCACAACCAAAACAAAAATAGAAAACCTAAGCCCAGTTTAATATAAGCACGCTGAATAGTTCACAAGTGCATTACCAGAAGACAAATACAAGGCAGAGATAAAGCCAATTGCAAGGGCAAATATTTGCAACTACTTAAATTCATAAGGAATTCCCATTTAAAAAGATTCAGAATCTTGGCCAAATTACTAGATAAATTGGGGCATTAAAAGTAGTTAAAAAATGACCAAACCCTCTTTAATTTTGTAATAGTCTTGCTAAAATACTTGTAGCCCTATTTTGTGTTGCGATCTTCTTGGCACTATTCACGCACATTAATTTGCAAAATCACAAAGCTCATTTACTCTCCGGCTTTGATGTTTTATTTCTCTACATTGCTGTTTCGGAAATAGTTCTTGTGACTTCAACTTATTGTCATAACTATTCAATTGTTTTCTGATGGTTCCTTTTCATATTTGATTATGAATGCAGATGACCTGAAGTTACCAATTGAGGGACATAATTTTTCAGAAGCTTTTGGTGAGTTGATCAACCAGTATGATCTATAATGTGCGAGTAATAAAGGATTATTCGTTTTGCTAGCATATTAAACTTAGGTAGGCAGTTATCACCTGTGAGGCAAGCAATCGAACCCCATATTGCACCTAAAAATTGTTTAAGGTAGGCTGTGGAGTTAATGCTCAGACAGATGGTTTAGATTGGTGATTCACTAATCTCTATACAGAAAATGAAGACTGCACACATGTACACAATACCCTTTCCAGTTTTTAGAGGCCTGAAAAAATGAAATCATGGACAAATGTGATAAATGTAAAACAAATGCTACTTTATAAATTCTTTTAATTAGATGAAGGAATCAAAATTGACCCTCCAAGTTCATGTTATGAAGAAATCCCCTTCACAGAAAGAAATTGAGGTTATTGTTTAAGATATGATATATAGATGGTGTCAATGTTGAAAAAGGCTTGCTATTAGGAGCAAAAAAGTTGGACGTACCACCATTTCCATTTGGCAATTATATTGAATCCATTTGCATCGTATGCAACTTGATGTTCAATGAGAAACATTTGAATGAGCTTTATTGCTGATTATATTTTTAGTAGTATAGTTGCAACAGAGACTGCTTACTTTTATGACTTATAATCCATATGTCTGCATTTTATTTTTCCTTTTCTCCTCTAACATGACTAGCATACAATTTTATTTTCAATAAGGATTTCTGATTTCTTATCTTCTTTGTTCTTTTCTTTCATTGATTGATGTCTTTAGTTTCACATGATCTACTCTACTGCTACCGGATGCATTCTACAGCAATGCACTACTTTAGCTGCCCGTACACAATGTCTGTACATGCTGATATGTCCCATCAGTTCATTATTAATTTTAGAGGGGGAAAAAAGAAAGAAAGAAAAAATGGCATTATCTTCTTCTTTTGAAAATGTGCTATACATATCATCCACATGAGTTTTCTATTAAAATGAGTTTATATGAGCAGAATTTTTACATTTGTCATCCTTAGGGCGGTGTTAAATCTAACAAGGGAAATGTATGTTGTTTCAGAATTGAGCCAAGAGGAGTCTGATGATGTTCTTTTTAAGCAGGTATGATGACATGACTTTTAATTAGGACTTTTCCTGCCATCTTGTTGATGAAATTTCACTTTTCACAAAAGCCCTAAACCTCTTTTTCTTTTTCTTTTTTTATTATCTTAATATTATTTCATTTTTCTTTGTGGAGCTGTTGTTTTCTTTTCAAAGCCAATTAACTTTTAGTATGCATATCTTTCATATGCATATATTTTTTGTTACTAGTTGCAACATATCTTTCATATTTGATTATACAATAGTCACTCCTTAAATATTTGTTTGCTTTACTTATGCAGGCTTGGCTAACGTATTTTTGGAGAAGGGCGAAAAACCATGGGTTAGAACCAGACATTGCAGAGGAGCGCCTGCAATTTTGGATTAACCATGGGACTCAGTCACCCACCTCAACTGACGCAGTTGATGGTACTCATCCTTCTCTCCACTCACATACATGATGTATCAATCTTTCTTTTAAAAATGGGTATTTTAAAAATAAAAAAAAACTTATCTAGAAACCATTTTCGAAAATACTTTGCCAAACTAAAAGGCTTCACATTAGATTCTTGGTGTAATTCGAAAAAGATTAATACATCATCTATGGATACAAGTTTTTCCACTATAAAAGCTTTAGGAATCATGTCTTAGTATGCTCCATATTGAGTTTTTAGCTGGTTAGTGATGCTTCTTTATTATTTCCATATGATATGTTGAATCACATGTGAAGTCAACTTCACTTGACCGTGTTTGCTTCAACTTTACCCTAGACTCGTGTCCTATAGTGTAGCAAGACTAACAAGTGGTCAAGTGAATTTTATGAACGGGCAACTATTATAAGTAAAATCTCTTTTATTTCTTTTTGGTTTCCTTCTCTACTCACCTCCACGGTCCTTCCATTTAACAGTTGAACGTGGCCTTGTGGAGCTCAAGAAGTTAGGGATCGAAACCCAGTTGTGGGAAGAATCGCGCAAGTTGATCGATCCCAACAGTAAAATGCCAATTCACTGTGACTTTTGATTTCCATTTTTCTTTTTCATTTTTTTCCCCTTTTCTCCCTTTGGGGATCTCTTTTCTTTCTATTATTTTCTCCCAAAGAGTGCTTTTGTTAGGCTGCTCTTTATATGAGTTACATATTATATACATATTGCATCTTATTTTTATCATCTTGTGTTTATTTTGCTACAGTACTAAAATGATAAATTTTGATAATATTGCTCCACTGGTGCAAATGTCATTTTGACACATCTGATTGCTTATTCTATCTATTGAATGTCTCACATCTAGACTATTGGATCAAAACCCTCTCTTGGGTGAGATGAGTTCGGCAATGCCATATTTTTGGTAGGTCGCTGGAGAGGATTTTTTAAATGGAATTGCTATTATTTGACAATAGTAGCCATTGTAGCAACGCACTGGAATTGCTCTAAAGGGAGGCTTGTGCCTTTACTCATAAAGCCAGCTTCATATAAACAAAGATTCAGTTCTCCGTTGGCACTTTTTAGTTGGGTTTAGATCTATGATTTGACGAGGGAAAGAAAAAAATGATAAAAAATTAATTTATTTTTCATTCATATTTAACTTAAGAGATTCCGTTTTATTCAAATTATTCTATCTGTATTTTATGTGATTAATTATGTGATCAATTTTGTGTCCCTAGACTGATTGAAATAGCAAATTTTAAGTACAAAGAAACTTTTAGACAAAAATGTTAAGCTTTTGCCCAACGATAAGATTTGTCTGAGGTTTGGTCTTGGTGGACACGAATTCAAATCACAAAAATAGATATTAAGATAAATTACACTGAACTCCCCTAAGGTTTCCAACAACTATAGGGATTTTTTTTCCTGTAATAAATACACTGACCTCCCTTACTTTTAAAATTATTATCAAGATTCCCTCACTCTTGGGCAATTTAACAAAATTTACTGATGTCATGTTGATGTCATAAGTTATAATACCAAAAATGATGAAATTGCCTATTAGCTATTTTATCTATTCAAATTAGAAATTTCACTCACTTCTCCTGAGGTTTTGTATATATATTATCAAAAACTCATAAATATTTTAGTATTGTTTAGTAAAATTCTTAAATTTCATGCAATGTTAAGTAAAACCCTTAAATTGTTAAGATACTATTAAATCATTTAATGGGGAAAAAAAACTTAATTTCCATTTATAAAATACTTTAAAATAAACAATTTCTCTAAAATTAATGTTAGATAACATCGTAATAATTTAATATAATAATTATTTCATACTACATAAACAACGTAAAGTTTATTATTTTAAGTAATGCATTTATTATTTGATTTTTTTTTAAGTTGAAGTAAATGGATTTATTTTTTCTTGGACAATTTGCATTACTTATTTATTCATATATATATAAATTATTATTTTATATTTTTTCAATCATATATTATTCTCAAATTTTTATTTTTATTTTTAAGTCATTAAACTTCTAGTTTATCCATATTTAAAAAAACACAAGTTAATATTTCTTGCATGATTAAAAAAAAAAATATAGAAGTAAAAAAAATTTAATCGCCTCACAATAAATTAAAATTAGTTAATAAGGAATGAAGGATCAAGAAATCATTTGAGAATAATAAGCAATTCAAATAATTTATCATTTCTTATATCTAAAATTGAAATTAATCTTTACTTGAATGGAGAAATTATTTGAGGATAATAAAATACTCAATTAATACGTATGATACTTAAAATCTATTTATCCATCTTCATTTATCTCATTTAAACTATTTTTATTAAATTAAATCTTAAAATTAATTTATAACCTTCATTAATGGCTGAATTTTTATTTTATTTTTTGTTTATAAAAGTTCAAAAACTTGTGAAAAAAAATAGAGTCAAGAAATTGAATTTATATTTTTAAAAAGTTATGAAAAATAAATAATGATTTCATATATATTTAATAGGATAAATTAAATTTAGTACATTTAAGGTTAAAATTAATGTTGATAATGAATGAGATTGGTTTAATTCTCAGAAATCTCAGCAGAGATAAGAATTTTTTTTTTTACATCTATATTTATTTATTAATTATGTAAGAAATATTAACATGCATTTTTTTAAATACGCATCGATTATAAATTTAATGACTCGAAGATAAAAATTAAAATTTGAGAATAATATATGAATAAGAAAAGATAAAATAATAATTTTTTTTACATATGAATAAATAAATAATACAAATTGCTGGGGAAAAATAAATTCATTTATTTCAATTTAAAAAAAATCAAATAATAAATGTATTACTTAAAATGATAAATTATACGATGTTTATGTAGTGTGAAATAAGCCTTATATTAAATTATTATGATGTTATCTAACATGTGTTTAGAAAGATTGTTTATTTTTAAATATTTTATCAATGAAAATTAATTTTTTTTATAAATGTTTTCATAATGTCTTATTCAGGATTTTATTTAATATTACATGAAATTTATGAATTTCATTAAATAATGCTAAAATATAAGGTTGTTTGGGATGATCTAAATAAGTATATTTTTTTACTTTTTATGAAAAATGTGCAAAAAAATAAAGAGATAATGTGACCAAAAAAAGATAAAAAGATAAACAAGTACACTTTTGTAGTGCTCCCCACATAACCCCTATGTGTGGGTCTTTGATAATATATATACAAAATCTCAGGAGAGGTGAGTGAAATTTACTCATGTTGATAATTAATTAGTTGGTTTATGAGTATTTTTGTCTTTTCACTAGGATTGTGCAAAATATTGTCCAATACACTAAAATCGTACCGATTCGTATCAATCAGTATTGCTCTATCTGCTAACTACGGTTTAAATTTTAAAATTTATAATTTAACTTCAAAATCGTTTCGTTCCACTATAATTAATACATATATATTTTTTAATCTATAGTGAAATATTAACGTAAAAATGAGTGTGAGAAATATTTAATATGTGAAATTTCTTACAAATTAATAATTATATATATGAAAAATATTATACAAATTAGTGTTATATATTATGCAAAGGCTTGATAATTGGTTAGAATATTTTCAATCCGCCAATCCGTCCAAAACCTCTCAAACTGCAATTTGCTAATCTGCCATTCGATTTATAATTTTACTCTTAAACCGCCTCAGTCGCACTGCACACATCCTTACAAAGGGTAATATAGTCATTTTTACACCCAACTAACGCTATTTGTAAATCGTTTCGTTCCACTATAATTAATACATATATATTTTTTAATCTATAGTGAAATATTAACGTAAAAATGAGTGTGAGAAATATTTAATATGTGAAATTTCTTACAAATTAATAATTATATATATGAAAAATATTATACAAATTAGTGTTATATATTATGCAAAGGCTTGATAATTGGTTAGAATATTTTTCAATCCGTCAATCCGTCCAAAACCTCTCAAACTGTAATTTGCTAATCTGCTATTCGATTTATAATTTTACTCTTAAACTGCCTCAGCCGCACTGTACACACCCTTACAAAGGGTAATATAGTCATTTTCACACTCAACTAACACTATTTGTACAGACCTAACAGATTTGAAGAATTTTAATAATAATTTCAAAAGTAAAAAAAATAAGTGTAATTATTAAAATTATAAAAAAAGTTACTATTATAATTGTTAAAAACCTCAGGACAGTTAAGTGCAATTTGTCTACGGAAAAAGATTGAGGCCTCGTACGTGGCTCGAAAAAGTTTTTTTTTTTTTTGTTTTTTTGCTTTTTTCTTTGAAACTGTTGGTTTGGTTGTTTTAATTATTATTTTTATTTATTTGTTGAGTTGTGTTAGTTTGATTGTTTTTATTTGTTGGGTTGCTGTAATTTTTTTTTTTTTTAAAGGATGAATATGAGTAGGGGTGGGTTTAAAGTTTAAGATTTAAAGTTTAGGTTTTTATTTCATCCGAATTTTTCTGATTTGAAATAAAAATATAGTAAAGACTCGTACAAAATTATATGGGTTGGGTTGTGTTAGTTTGGTTGTTTTTATTTATTTATTTATTTGTTGGGCTGTTGTAATTTTTTTTTTTTTTTAATGTATGGGGGTGGGTTTAGAATTTAGGATTTAAGGTTTAGATTTTTATTTCTTCCGAATCTTTCTGATTTGAAATAAAAATATAGTAAAGACTCGTACAAAATTATATGGAATTAACAAATTTTAATCAGTAGTCTAACTGATCAGTCAATTTTATCACCCAATCAGTCTAACCCAACTGTTTTTTTTTTCATTTTTTTCTATTTGTTGGGCTATGTTGGTTTTATTTTATTTTATTTGTTAGACTGTGTTAGTTTGATTTTTGTTTATTAGGGTTTAGATTTTAGGATGCACATAAAAACCCTTTTAAAAAAAAAAAAAACCAAACAAACAAAACCAAACCAATATAAAACAAAAAACAAAAAAATAAATAAAAAAACAAAACAAAACAAAACAATTTTCGAGACAACTTCGCGCCTCCCTTTCCCTTTCGAGGCCTTTATCACGGTTGCCTACCTAATAGGGTATCTTAAAATGGCGGCATGGTTGTCTGTATTTTGTTATCTCTAACTCTCACTCTAAGGAGAGCTTACCATCCTGCTTTCCCTCCTCTTTTTTTTTTTTTTTTTTTTTTATAAAGAAAATGAGATTAAATTATATAGTTATAATTACTAAATCAATATAATTTTTTATGAACAATTTAAAAAAAAAAAAGTCTTGCAAAATAAACAAATCAAATCATCCTCATAGGGTTCGTAAGGCCAATTCTCTTGAAAATCTAGTGGTGGTGCTTGGTTATCATTTTTTAAAAATATTTTTTAGAAAATTATATTTTTTTATTTTTCATGTTTTTTTTTTATTTTTACTGAATTTTTTTAATATTTTGAGCAATTTGTTTAATTTTTAGACATACCGAATGAGAGGGTAATTTTTGGTAAAAATTGGGCCGAGCTATGTGATGGGCTTTGCGGCCCAAAGTGCGAAGGACTGAGTGGGAAGGCCGCAACGCTACTCCGGCCCAGGAGAAGTGTAGTTACTCCGGCTCAGGAAGGTGTGATTACTCCGGCCAGGAGAGGTAAAAGTTACTTCAGCTCAATAAAAGGTAGAGTTACTTCGGTTGAAAGGTTGTAAATGTACTTCGGTCCTGGAACAGCTTGGAATTAGACCGGTCTTGAAGTCTACATCGGCTTTAGAGGTGTACCGGTCTTGGAGTTATACCGGTCGAGAATCGTTGTTTCGGTCCAAACACACCATGGGTTGAGCAGAGGAGAATCGAGATATGGTGTAGCGAGCAAAACCGAACTAAGGATAGGTCGGCCTAATTTGTGGCTCGGCATAGCCATTCTTACTTCGGTCGAATGGAAGTTCGGCCATAAAGAAAACCATCCCACTTGGTTTAAGCAGTGGGGGAGGGTGTAAAAGGATAAGCATTATCCATAGGAGAATGAATCCTAGGAGGACTCTGCATGGAGAAGTTCAAGTCCTACTAGGATTGTGTCACGGAAAACTTATAAAAGCCCACAAGCATCACCTTGGAGGAGGTAATTGAACATAATTCTTTCTGAGAACATAGATCTTTGTCTATTTGTCAAGTTTTCTGACTTAGGCATCGGAGAGGTTTCCGGCACACACTCGCCGGCTAGCTCACGTTTGTGTTTTCAGGTGACAAAGCGACGTCGTACGGAGGAGCGTGGACTTGGTCAACAGGATTATACGAGGAGAATTATTTCCTCCCCGTACAATTGGCGCCGTCTGTGGGAAGAACAGACAAGAACAAAAACCTCTTGACTAAGCTTCTCCTTTTCTCATTCAATGGCACACATTGAAGACCCACCACAGTCCGCCATCGACGGGCTGACTCCGGACGGGGGCGCCAGGCGAGAAGGATTACCCTCTGTCCCTCCTATGGCAGATCTGGAGCCCCAACAACATAATTCCAGGAGGAGCGGCAGGGGAAGGCGGAATGGCAGCCCTCAAAATACTACGGTTAAAATACACCTGCACTAATAAAGTATTATTAAATTCTTATTTTTGTATTAAATTTTTTTGTCTCTCAATTATTTGTTTATCTGTCAATGTAATTCAGTTAATAGCTGCTGTCTAATCACTTTGCCTTAAAGAATTATACTTTCTAACTTTGAAAATATAAATTTTTAGGGCAAAGTTCAATAATTTAAGGACAATATTGAATTACTTTGATAATAGTTCACTAATTAAAGGATAAAATGAAATATATATATATAATATTAAATTATTTGATGATGTTAATAATTTTTATTATAATAATTATTTTTTTTAAAAATAAAGTAACAAAAGAGAAATTTGTAATAAAAAACTAAATCTCAAATGAAGTTTTTGTCATTTTAAAAATGTCCGGAAGTTTATATGATTTTATTAAATCTCAGATCCGCATATGAGTTAGGATTAAATTAGTCAATTAAAAAAATAAAGTAATCTGATTTAGTTGATAAGGTTAAATGTTATATTCAAATAATAATCTTTTGATTTTTTTCACTCACAATTATCAAATCAATGACAAAAATTTTAAAATTGTCTCCCAAAAAGAATTTTTTTTAATCAAGCAAAAAAAAAAAAAACAGGTTAAAAAGTTTATCCCAAACGCGGCCTTAGATAGAAAAAAAAGAAAGAAAAGAAGGCAACGAGTCTTTCTGTTATTCATTCTGAACAATTTGATTGGAGAGAGAGAGAGAGAGAGAGAATGGGGAGGGAGGTATCAGAGAGCTGTGTGGAGAGTCTGCTGACAGAGATTGTATCTACCTATTGCAATCAGAGAGCTGTGTGGAGAGTCTGCTGACAGAGATTGTATCTACCTATTGCAATCGCTTCTACGCCAACAAGCCTGAGCTTGCAGCCCGAAGGATCGAGGCCATCGGCTATCAGGTCGGCCACCAGCTCTCCGAAAGGTATACTTTCTCCTCTAATCCCCATATTTATCTCATCATTCTTCCTTCAAATTCAACACTCTCGCTGATTAGAAGCTATCCAATTTTGATCCCAACCTGTCATCTTACCCATTATTGGAAAATACATCTTTATTATATATAAACGTTGGTCTATTGTTGTGTGCGTGTGTATATATATATATATATGGTGGCACATTAATGTGTGTGCAATTCAGATATATAAGAATAAAAGTAGATGATGAAAAAATTAGTATATTATCTAAGTGGTACGAGTACTCGTAATGAAACCCATGGCCTAATTCAAAGTTTACTTATGCCTTTGAATAATAATTTTTTATTTTATGATATAAAAGTTTATCATGTGGCAGAAGGATAAGCCACCAAATACTTGGACACAGTGCTCCCATATATAGTAGTACTAGCAGGTGACACACTTCAAAAACCAGTGGTTGATCAGTGGTTAGCGTTTTGCAAATCATAGAAGCTATTCAATTTAGATCTTGAAGGTGTCATATGAACAATTGGAATACATATCTATCTATACTATATATAAAGGTGTCCTGAAGCCTTGGCTTGTTACGCTGCCAAGTGTCCACATTCCTATTTAAAACAAAAAAGAAAAAATTGATTAGATGAGAGTACACTCAAACCTTAGACATTGGGTTGAATGAAGAAAACTCTTACCATGAGTAGCACACATTATATAATAAATATTTTGATTTTTTTTTTTTAATTGCACATGCGATGCATGTGCCAACCTCTAGTTTGTAATATATAAACATTGGTCTCTAGTTATGTATATACACACTCATATACATATTTGCATACCCATATATAGAAATGACTATAAATCCTGTCTTGAAGTTCAAATTTCTAATTCAACACTCATTGATTAGTGGTTTGAAAATGCTTAGGGTTTTGCAAATCATAGAAGCTATTCAATTTGGATATGTTGGTGTTATCCGATTGATTTTGAGTTGTTTCCTTGAATACATATTTGGGATATATAAACATTGGTCTATAGTTATGTGCTTACATATGCATTATAGCATTCCATGGCTGAGACAATATGGGGAAGGAAAAAACTTTTTGGGTTCCTGAACCTTGGAAAGGTTCCAATCGAATATATTGGCTAGCACCATTTTAATCATCTCCTACTTTCCATTCTTTAGTATGGGTACAAACTGTAATTTGAAATTTTGCTTCTTCTTAGGTATACAATGGAGCGGCCACGGTTCAGTGATCATCTAGAGGCGATCAAGTTCATTTGCAAGGACTTCTGGTCCGAGCTCTTCAAGAAGCAGATAGACAATTTAAAGACAAATCATAGAGTAATTTCAAGAGCCTAAGCTGAAATTGAAACTAAAATTCATTGTGAGAGTTTGGCTAACTGGTTTGTGTTTTCCACGTAGGGTACCTTTGTATTGCAAGATAATCGGTTCCGTTGGCTTTCGCGCATGTCAGTTGATCTATCATCTGAAAACTCTGGTTCCATTCAAGATCCTTCTGCTATGGCTGAAAGCAAGGAAGCACAAGCAACAGGAATGTATCTATACTTCCCATGTGGAATCATTCGGGGAGCACTTTCAAATTTGGGAATCCCTTGTGCCGTTTCTGCAGATATATCCAACCTTCCTGCATGTGAGTTAATCTCTTTGATTACTTTACAATTTCACTCATGATATATTCCTATCCATTGAAGAGAAGAAACAATGGAATAAATATATTCACCCCAGCAATGATAGGAAGAATTTGCCCTTTTGACCCAAGTTCCAAATGTAAAAGGTATTGGTGTAGGCCCTTTTCATTTTTTTGGTTTAAGAGGGAGCCTAAGCCCAAAACAAAAGCTAGCTAGCTAGCTTACAGGGAAAACTCCTTTGAAAAGATCCCTAAATTCTATCTCGGGACATGCTGTGTATTGCATCAGTGAAATATTGTTTCAAGAAAGGTCTAGGTTGTGATGGTCAAACTAGGCCCCCCAAGATTTTGTCGTTCTTATGTCCATTATTATATGATATGTCATGATTTTTTGGTATTGAAAGAATATCAATTGCTGAAGAGAGAAATGAATGGTTCAATTAACTATGGTCTATCTAATCTAATTAATCAACCTTATGGTGGAAGTAGATGAATTGGGTAGTACGTTCCTATTGTGTTCTGATGTTAGTGATTGATTTAAGTGGATTTGGTATTAATGGCAAAGCTAGGGAGTGTGGTTTGTACGATACTTCGGGTAATTTGATTGGAAAGGAATGTGAGAATTTTTTAGGAGAAGTTTAAAGACATTGAGAGTTTATGGGATAAATTTTTTATTTAGCTTCCCTTTGCACTTTAGGGTTTCCAGCACACACAAATAGACACCTGATGCAGAGCTTCAATTTGTTCATATGTTGATGCATTCCCTTCTCCCACAAAGAGACAGTACCTGGCCTAGTGGACCAACTCCCACTGTCCACTAGTGGGGGGCCCAATTAAAGGGGAGGGGTGGGGGAACTTTGCCCGTACGACTGGTTCCAAGAAATTGTTTGCACCAAAGAGGTGTGAACCTGAGATCATAAAGGGAGCACACCCTCAGACCCCAAGTCTTGTCCACACCCCATTGGGGTTCACAAAGAGACACTCCTAAACCTATTTTCTTCTCCTACTCTATCTTAACCCTCTCCAACAATGGAATAATTCCACCATTGATCTAGGGAACACTTACGATATGTCAACAAAAACTTCATAAAGAAGAACATGACCAAAAAAAAAAGGGTTACATATAGACATTCACACGGGGCATGCTTTGGACCTTGTCTAGTGATTTTTTTTTGTTTTTGTGTGGGGTGGGGGGTTGTTCATGTTGAGTCTTTATCCTGTGTATTTTAGTTTAGTATGTTTTGAAACATATATATGCTTTCATTTTACTGAATTTTAAGAGTTAGAGATTTTGGTAATTTTCGGAATTTCAAGATGTGGATTGTAGTTATGGTACACACTGGTATAAAGGGTTGAGTTAGGTTAATCTCAGATGTTCTGCTTTTCCTCCCTCTCACTGGACTAAACTTGGAGGGCATTGTTTGTTCTGAAACCATTGTAGTTGTAGTTTGGTGTTGCCTTTTTTTTTTTTTTTGGCAAGTTATAAAAATAATAATAAAAGTTTTGGTGTTGGCTTTGCTGCTCTTTATATATTTACAAATAGCGCTCAAGGTGATTCAAGGTTGTTAATTTTTTGTTTTCCAGTTGTAAATAAATTCCCTGCGCGCGCGCGTGTGTGTGTAAGCACATATGTATTTGCATGTGTATATATATCTGTTAACTAATGTGTTTAAATTGTTGAACAGGTTCATTTGTGGTCCGGATAAAGGCCTGATGAGTGTATTAGCAGAAGGGTGGGATTTAGATTAGTGTCTCGAGGATATATGGTCTACACTGAAAATGTGTATTCTCCCTTCTTGACCATAGTTTTTTTTTTTTTACTTGTTCATACTTTCAATTTCTCATTTCTATCTGAATCTGTTTAGAACTGAAATTGTTTTGGAGAACTTTCTTGTTCCTGTTTTCTTGAATAAACCATGGTGTAGATGCTGAGTCTACGGGAATTGCAAAATTTATGCGCATTGAAAAATGCTCACATATAAAATGAAATTTTTGGCTCAAATTCATTTTATATGCCACTCATACTACACCAAATTCATATTTGGACCATACATTTCAATGTTTTTTTTTTCCCTTATCTTTTTGAGTTTTTTTTTTTTTTTAAAATTTGTTTTTATATTATTTTAAGAATTGATTATAACTTCTTTGCTTTTTAGATTCGTCTTAACTTGACGATCTTAAAAATAAAATAAACTTATTAAATTAAGTTAATATTTTTGTAAAACATTCAGAAAAGATAAAAGTAAGTAAGTTTTGGTAATTTGCTTTTTAGATTCGTCTTAACTTGACGATCTTAAAAATAAAATAAACTTATTAAATTAAGTTAATATTTTTGTAAAACATTCAGAAAAGATAAAAGTAAGTTTTGGTAATTTTTTGGATAAAATTTGGCTTTTTTTTTGGTTAACTATTTTTTTTTTTAAATAGAGAGATGATTCAAAATTTTAAAATTTTTAAGTTGTTTGGTGTGATGAATTTAAAAAGTAAAAATATTTGACTCAAAATTGAAAAAAATTCATAAAAATAAAAATAAGTAAAAAAAAATTGATTTTATAAATATTGACGTGACTTTTATAATAATGTTATTGTATTGAGTTTTGTTTCTTGATTTTAATTTTTTAAAATTAAATAATAATTTTTTATTAATAAATTATAAGTTGGAGAATAAAAATCATAAAGTAATATTTTGAGTAAATTACATTAATATCTCTTGTGATTTAGACAAAATATAGTAAATCTTGCAGTTTTAACATAATTAGATTGACTTGTCCTCTAAGCATCTTCAACCTACTAGGCATATGATGTTTGTTAGTCAAAATGGCTAATGTGACTTACTTTTTTCAACTCCAACACATTAGGCATTTTGGCTCAACTCATATTCACTAGCTACATGTAGCTAGCCTTCAAGGCTAGGCAAAATATATTTAATCATTAAGATTATTTCCTTCTATCTTTGATGCTGACGTGGCATTGTATAAAGTTAATAGTATTTGGATGAATAACTAAAATAAAGAGCATGGTTGGAGTAGAAACATGTAATAGTTGACTGGCAAAATAAAATGTATAATTTATAGTAATATTTAGATAGGTAAAATGCCTACTACCGTTGGAGATGCTCTATTAAGACTAAACAAATTAAAAGCAAATAACATTAAAAAAAAAAAAGAATAAATATATATTTAAGTATAAAAACAATGATAATATTTTTTTTCCTCATTCATAAGACTAATGAAATAAATTATTGATGAAAATGAACTAAAAGTAATATAAATTAAAATATTAAGATAGTCTAATATAATTATGTAAAAATTGTGAGAGAGTGTCGGTTTTTTTTTTTTTCTTCTAAACTTTAAATTAGGTTAACGTAATTAATTTTTATTTTTACAATCAAATTTTTTTATTAAAGGGACTCAGACTTATCTATTCAGAATTTCTTAAGTGAGTGATTGTTTGGTAGAGATTAATTTGTGTAGTATAATATTTAGATTACTTTGTGTAGTATGAGATTTATATGGCCTCCACATAGAATGTGGTAGAAATTAATTTCTGAGTAATTTTGAAGTTAATGTAAATAAATTTGTATTATTTTTTAAAAAAAAATAGGATTTTCCAAAATTTTCATATTCGAAGGGTTTAGGCTTTGAGAATCGGGTGTTTGTTTGGTTCCCGAGAAAATAACCAGGCAGACACTATCCACGGAGCGTGCCGTAGAGTCCGCGGTCACTCGCCGACGGCATTCTCAGGCACTTCGCCTCGACAGCACCACCCTTCTCCGTCGCCCGGAACTGGACTGAACTTCCGCTCCGTTTCGCCACCGTCAATCGCCGAAATTTGTGTCATTGTTTATACTTCACAATCAAACCAGGTAAGCTTTTCCTGTGATCAAACAGACTTCGACCCATATTGGGTCAGACCCAATATACCTAATCGATTCAGTCGTTTCTTTATATATGGATGTGATTATGGAAAACTAATGGGTGTTTTGTTACTCGGTGAATGAGTACTCGATTTGGGTTTTTTTGATATTCTTTTTAGCTGACTAGGTTGACCCAATTCGTTTGTTGTTTGATGATTGCGTGTTTATCAGCAAATCTGAGACATAAAGTTTGGAATTTTAATTTGTGCCGAATTTGCCAATGTAAATGAACTAGTATAGAAACAGAAAATGGAACTACAATGTTCAAATAAATGTCAAAAAGAAGTAATTTTGGACCCTGGGATTTTTAGTATATTATTATTAGGTGTCTGTTGAATCATAATTCTCATTGAAATTGTAGTGTCTAAAAAGTTTGGTCTTATAACAGTGTATGTTGATGCACATATTGGAATCATAATTTCCTATTGAAATTGTAGTGCGACTAATGGAACTGTTGTTTGTTTTCTAGTAGGAGTTTGGGTTTTGGAACTATGTTGAAGCAAGCATATCACAAGTTATGTGCTCGTGAAGGTGATAAAATTAGGCTTTGTTTGTATTCACAAACAAGAGGTATTCACTATGGCCAGGTACACTCTTGAATTTTGTTTTGAGGGTACGGGATATATTTTTCTCTTGAATCAACTTTCTATAGAATATGGATCATGATAAATTTTTTTGGCACCCTAAAGCTGACTATTAATGCAGCAGTAGCAATCTTTCAATTAGTAAATTTTATGTCTGTTATGTACTTTGGGGGGCAAAAGTTGCCATTTTTATGTTAGTTTGAATTGTGTGTTTAGCTATGTTCAACAAAAAAAAATTTTGTTTTTTTTTTGTTTTTGTTTTTGTTTTTAGCTTGATTTCCAATAATTTGATGTTACTGCTATTGAGTCCTTCGCAGTGTTCATTCTTGCCATTGTTTTTGGACATAGTATAGATGCTATTTTGCTTTTCTCTTTTCGTAATGTATTGCTATTGCCAACCTTAGAACCATGGAAACATTGGCAAGGTGATGAGAACAACATGCCAATGAATTTTTTGGGATCTGAAAGAACTGTTGTGGATAATGAGTAATTTGTTATAATGATCAAATCAAGTAGTGTGGCAAATACGGGTCTAGAAAGTGAATCCAGTCCTTATACTATGAAATATGGCCTGAAAACCTTAATTAACCGTATAAAACATTGTTGATATTCACATCCGAGAAACTGCAAGGTAAGCCGTGTGAAAAGGATGCCATTTTACATCAACAAAGTTGAGATCCTCAGCCAATTTAGTTACGTCTTGCTTATGACTGAATATAATAGTTAAAATCATTGTGAGTTTTGAAAGATTTTGTTAGCTACTCATTTTCATGCTGATTATAGTTCATTGAACTTGACACTTCAGGAAAACATCTAAGAATCATGTTATAACTATGTTGAATGAAGATTTATTGTAGCATAATAGATTTGAAATGCAACAGCTAGAAGTCTGGCTTGCATTCCAAATAGCTATGCAAATTTGAAAAGGTTGGTATCGTAGTGGTCCATTTTTTCCCTCAAAAAGCGCTTGTTATTGTTGAGGAGTGAATTGGTTTGCTTTTACTCGGTTGAAGCATCTCCGCTATTTTTTAGGTTTTTTATGTTCTTAAAATTATTAAAGCACTCTTGTTCTAGTCACTTACAACTTCTTGATTGATTTAACTTGCTTTTGAAATCTCCACTCTTGCTCTGAAATTTTAATATGACAACTTAAAACCAAGACAACTGAGGGCAGTGATTTTGGCACCCAAGTTGTAGTCAAAGGTAAAATGATTTTATTATCAAGGACAAATTACATTGACCTCCCTTGAGGTTTGAAAAATATGCCAAGCCCCTACAAGTTTGGCATAATTACACTGTATCCCTATGAATTTCATTCATGTAACACTTTTCATCAATAATTAGTAATTCGTCTAGTTGGAAAAAAAAATTTTGATATTATGATATAATTTATGAAGCATAGACACCTTTCTGGAGGTCGTGTACAGGCGTCCTACACATGTTGGACACGGATACACTCTGGACAAGTGTCGGACACGCTAGAAAGAGTTGGATACGCTGGAACATTTTGGACACACTGCGGATACATGCTGAGAACACGCATGGGATACGTTGAGGACACGCCAGGGACACGTTAGGGACATGCTGAGTACTATTTTTTTTTAAAAAAATAATTTTTTTTATTTTTTTACTAAAATAGCATATCTAAGATTGATAAATTTCATAAAATTAAATATTTGACATGAAATATATATTAAACATTTAAAAATATACATATAATAAAAAAAATATTTTGAACGTGTCCTTAACGTGTCGTGCCTTATATTTTTTTGAAAATTTACATGTCTGCGTGTCCGTATCGTGTCACGTGTTCGTATCCATACTTCTTAGGATATGATAATATCATAACATTTACACTATATTTTGTCATTGATTATTCATGTGTTTACACACCAACTGCATTAGTTATGCTTGTTTTAGCCTTACTAAAAGAGTGTTTAATGTAATTATGATAAACTTGTAGTGCTTATTTTATTTTATTTTATTTCAAACAACACGGGTGATTAGTGTAATTTACCCTATCATCAATAAAACAAAAATCTTACAGGCTCCAAAACTTGTACAATTTGTTGTGAAAGAATTTGAAGTTTTCTTGTTCAAAATCTGACTTTGATGTATTTGTCCCTTTTTATATCTTTCACCATTTTTATAATTTCACAGCCTTCTTTGGGACCAAGAAGCTTTTTTGGGGTAGAGGATTATCTTGACGATGACAATAGCCGGCCATACACATACCAGAAGGAGAAGAAGTCGAAGAATACAGACAAGCACGTATCCTTCAAACAGCGTACAATAGCTTACATGGAGCCATTTACACTTGACGTGTTCATATCTAAACGCTTTGTTTCGGCCTCGTTCACTCACAGGATGACGAGCAAGCAAGTTGCGGTTGCTGGTACCAACTCCAAAGACATCAAAGCCGCACTCAAGTCGCGATCAGATATACCAGCCTGTTTGGCCGTAGGACAGATTTTAGCAGAGAGAGCACGAGAAGCGGATGTCTACACGGCTTCGTATACTCCGAGGGAGAGGGATAAGTTTGAAGGGAAGATAAGAGTTGTTGTTCAGTCTCTCATTGACAATGGTATTGATGTTAAAATTTATCTTGATTGATTTTTTATTTTTTTTTACTTTCCAAAACTCAAGTTAGGATCTCTGTGTTTCTTTTTGAAGTGTTTTTAGTAACCCTTTCAAAGGTGAAAGTCCCTTTGGTCCTGTTGTAGTCTTTTGTAGATCCTTGATCAATGAAACGAAGGAACACATATATGCATTCGTGATCTTCTATAAATGTGAACTCTTGTGTGTGGGGAGTTATTTTCCAATTCATATTATTTTTAAATAAATTTTCCAAATATAAGTTGTTTTAAAATTTGAGTGAAAATTGAAACAAGAGAAACTAAAAGGATTGAATCATAATTATTACAGGGGGTCTCCATGTGAAATTTGAGTGATTTTTTTATTTATTTATAATTAAAGGTAAAAATGTGTAATTTGTTTTATAATTTTTTTACTCCGATGTCTCCAAAACAAACTCTTGCGATCTACACCTACTTTTTATCCAAATTTTTATTTAACAGTGAGTGAGAGGAAGACTATATTAAAACATGAATTGAAGTATAAAGATTTCTGTAATTGTTAACTATTAGAAGATGTGGAAACAAAATAAAATTCAAATAACAATTGAAAATATAATTTATCATACATTGTCAAAAACGGAGATATTCTGAGACTCAATCCCAATCTTTAAATGTCTAGTGCGAAAAATTTTAATTTTTTACGTAAGTTTAACTTATATCATACGTGGTGTGTCATTTCAATTATAAAGAGACACGTAACTATTTTCTCTCACTTTTTCTCTTATATTTTAGACAATAGTTTTATAATAGTTTTGATCTAATAGATGGAGGACTTCTTGTTTAGTACACAATTACAAACAGATCTTCTTTTTTTTTTAAGAGAATTATAAATTATAAAATTATAAAAATGCAAATGACTAGTTATATAATTTCCAACTCCTGCAAAAATTTTAAAGTACACCACGTAATTATAGGCCCATCTTAGGCCTTATAATTGAAATACGGGCTCAAGCTGTCTAGCCCATGTAATCTCCGAACCAGCCTCGCAGCCCACAGCACTGAGTTGACTCCGAGTTCCCAAACTCATTACTCAGTCAAAACCCTTCTCGTTCTCTCTTTCTCTCTCCGCCCTTCAACTGAGCTCTGAACCCTAGAGAGAGATGAAAATGGGAAGGAGAAGAAGAGGCGGTGGATCGCTGCCGTCGACGGACTTCGAACGAGTCCTCCGCCGCCACATCGAGTCCTGCAACAGGCACAAATACGCTACCGTCGACGAAATCGTTAGCCAGCTCCACTCGAACTTCCCAGGATACAGTCGTCAAAAGCTCCAACCTTTCACAACTACCGTTCAAAAAACCCTAGAACACATCAAATCGACGAGCATTACATCAAGCCATCCGTCCACATCAAACTTCGTCTTCGATGAAGAAGAAGAAGAAGATGAATCTGCTCGTAAGAAGGTGAAGAGAATCGACGCGAGTGAGGAGAGGTTGCAGCGATTGGAAAATCAACACATTCGAAGGAAGCGAATTGGTATCATCGATCAGTTGAGTTCTTCGTCTGAATCGGAATCAGAATCGGCAGACGGTGCAGTGTCGACATCGAAAGACGCGATTTACGGTGAAAAATTGGAGCCAGAGTTCGATTTGATGAAGTCGATGCTTCGTGCGAGTTATAGTGAATCGAAGGATGCTGAAAATTTGAAGGAGAATGTGGAGGAGGAATTGATTGTTAACAACAAGGCTGATGATAAGGTTGATTTGCTTGAAGGAGATATGAAAAGATTTGAAAAAGGTTTGAATGGTGATGGTGATGGCGATGGCGGCAGTGGTGGTGGTGGTGGTGGTGGTGAAGAGGTGAAAGAAAAGGATGGACCAAGATTCAGGGATTTGGGTGGGATGAGTGGAGTTGTGGAGGAATTGAAGATGGAGGTGATAGTTCCATTGTATCATCCGCAGTTACCGAGGTGGCTCGGAGTGAGGCCGATGGCGGGGATTTTGTTGCACGGTCCGCCAGGTTGTGGAAAAACGAAGCTTGCTCATGCCATTGCTAATGAGACTGGTGTTCCATTCTATAAGATTTCTGCTACTGAATTGGTCTCTGGTGTTTCAGGTATTAATTAGTGTTTCTATTCAATATATAAATATTTTTCTACTTGGTTTAGTTTGATTAGTTTCACCAAAAATTTTCATGAAGTCCAGGCAAAAACAAGTTTTTCACCAAATTTGATGAAGAAGCTCTAGGAGAAGCTTGGAGTTTCTGAAAAGGATTTTGATGAAAATTTTGACAGAGTGAGGATTGGTGCATTCAATTTTTTCACCAATCAAGTTTTTTGTTAGTTAATTTTGATTAAAAAAAACTAATGGAGCATCCCATATGAGATCAAGCTTTTAAGTTTTAACCTATTGATGAATAAAAAAGGTAAGAGTATCTATCTCCAATCCTTCATCAAATCCTTTGTCAAATTTAAATTTGATGAATTTTTTGGTGAAAATGAGATCCAATCCTTTCATCAAACTTTTATCAAATCAAGTTTTCATGAGATGGCAATTGTTGCATATTGCTGGCTCCAAGAAACCATTACTGGTCTTCTTGCTTCCCTGGGCTCAGCTTTGTGATGGAGAAGCTTTCTAATGCTTATAATTATTGTATTTTTTGTGGTAAATATTTTAGGTGCATGAGAAGAGAACATTCGGGATCTTTTTACGAAAGCATATAGAACAGCACCATCTATTGTATTCATTGACGAGATTGATGCAATTGCTTCGAAACGAGAGAATCTACAGACGGAGATGGAGAGAAAGATTGTGACACAGTTGATGACTTGCATGGATGAATCACACAGGCTTGTACAACCGGTTGATGCAAACACAAATGCAGAAAGTTTTGATTGCAGACCAGGCTATATTCTTGCGATTGGAGCTACCAATAGGCCTGATGCGGTTGATCCTGCATTAAGGAGGCCTGGATGATTTGATCGTGAGATTGTTTTAGGTGTTCCAGATGAAAATGCAAGGGTTGAGATTCTTCTTGCTCTGACACGCAATCTTAGACTTGAGGGTTCTTTTGATCTTGTGAAAATAGCCAGGTCCACACCAGGGTTTGTTGGGGCTGACTTGGCGGCTCTAGCTAACAAGGCTGGTAACCTTGCTATGAAGAGAATTATTGACAGAAGAAAGTCTGATCTATCTGGAGAACCTACACATGTGGATCATACTGAAGACTGGTGGAGGCATCCATGGCTGCCTGAAGAGATGGAAAATCTTAGCATCACTGTGGCTGATTTTGAGGTATCTGGATTTTTTGAATGAATGCTATCTAATGTTATTAATATTTCGAAAACGCAACATACTTCTAATTTTGATGTTGCTTCTTCTCAATACATGTTTGTCTTATCAGTATCATCCTTTGGAACTTCATTTTCTTCATGATACTTCAGCGATCTAAATTTTAGTTAGTTTAATGATTTAACAGTTCCCTTTTGTGCTTCAATGGAAAACTCCTTTAATCTGAATGCGCATGTAGTTGAACATGTAGAATTGCTTGATGCTGTATAATGGTTTTATGATGTAGCATTTTTCATATCTGAAATTGAGATTGACCACTTATTTTGTTGTCTATACTGAAAAATAATTTTTGTTTTAAATTTTGAATGAGTTATTTTGTGATTGATTTACTGATAAAATGATGGCCATCACAAAACCATGTCACCTGCAGGAAGCAGCTAAAATGGTTCAACCCTCTTCAAGAAGAGAAGGATTTTCTGCCATTCCTAATGTAAAATGGGGAGATGTCGGAGGGCTCCATTTGTTAAGGAAGGAGTTTGACCGTTACATAGTTAGGTGTATAAAATATCCCGAGGATTATGAGGTAATTATTACATTTAAATGTCAAATTATAAATCACCGTCAAGATGATGCAAAGGGAAATCAACATAAGGGTAGAGTAGAGAGTCATCCTATGTTTTTAACATCATAAGGTTTGTGTCAAGAAGAGAAGGATTTTCTGCCATTCCTAATGTAAAATGGGGAGATGTCGGAGGGCTCCATTTGTTAAGGAAGGAGTTTGACCGTTACATAGTTAGGTGTATAAAATATCCCGAGGATTATGAGGTAATTATTACATTTAAATGTCAAATTATAAATCACCATCAAGATGATGCAAAGGGAAACCAACATAAGGGTAGAGTAGAGAGTCATCCTATGTTTTTAACATCATAAGGTTTGTGTTCTTAGATTTAGCTGGCATTTTCAGGGATTCGGGGTAGATCTAGAGACAGGATTTTTGCTTTATGGACCTCCAGGCTGTGGGAAAACATTGATTGCTAAGGCTGGAGCCAATTTCATTCATATCAAGGTTTGTCACTTTATTTTCACTGTCCAATCTTTTGTTTAAACATGCTAATTTCAACTGTAATTTCTAAATTATGTTCACCGGTAAAGGGCCCTGAACTTCTGAACAAATATGTTGGTGAAAGCGAGTTGGCTGTTAGGACAATATTCAGCCGAGCAAGGACATGTGCCCCATGCATACTTTTCTTTGATGAGGTAAGTGGCTTGTTACTGTTTATACTATTCCCAATATTTCTGACTATGAAAATATGGACCTCTTTCAACATAACTGTAAACCTTGCTCTGATACCATGTAAGAATTTATGTATTATTGATTAATGTATATTGATTTCATGATTCCTATATATAGAAGAGGGTGAGTGTGTAGTAGGTAAGGAGTAGGTGAAGTGGAGGTGGTAGTGGTGTAGTGGGTTAGGTTTAGTGGAGTAGGTTTAAGTGGGTGAAGTAGTTGATAGGTTTTAACAATAACAATGATGCATTTAGATAATTATGGAATCATGGACCTCCCTTCTTCATCAAACTTTACATCTACTTTTGGCCATGATTGCAAGATAGGGAAGAACGGCAATTCCATACTCCTATCAATGCAGAAAGGACAGAGCCATTCACATCACAAGCACTTTTATGTAAATTTTTTATTCATTCATCTCTCTTGGGATTTTTTTTCCCTTGGTCTCCATTTATATTTCATAGGACTAAAATTTAAGCCAACTATATAATAGTGTAATTGTATATAGACTGCCCTTTTCAGTTTGACAATGAAGTCTTGTATTTAAAAAAAAATAAAAATAAAAATAAAAATGGTCCAATAATGATCTGCACTCTGTTATAAAATATGGGCTGGACAGGGCTTGCTGCTAGCTGAACTTCACATGTTCAGATGAGTTGTTTTATTTTAGCCAAAATCCTTAATGGGTTTGGTTGACAGTTATATACCTATAGAATTGGTCTTTGTATCAGTCATTACTGTCAGTGTTTTTAACTTGTGCTCATCTGTCGCTTCAACATCTGCATGTGGATGCTTTGACTACAAAGCGTGGAAAGAAGGGGGGCTGGGTTGTTGAGCGGCTTTTGAACCAGGTCTAACAAATTTACCTATTCGGTATCTGAATTCACTTATGCTCACCTACTCATCTTATGTCTTTAATGAAATGCATAATGAGTTGGGGAAGAAAAATTTCCGAACGAGAACCAACAAACCACACAAACCACACCGGAACAAATGTCACAAGAATTGGTTTGCTTGGTTTGTGAATGGGTTTTGTGTCACAAAATGAGAATTGCACCAACAATAGGGGACTGAGTCACACCCTAATGCTTCCTTTCTCAAAACGTCATTATCAGATTATGGATTTGACAATGAATTCATTTCTTATTATGCAGCTACTGATAGAGCTAGACGGTGCAGATCAGCGACGTGGTGTTTTCGTCATTGGTGCCACAAACAGGTGATCTCAGTTCTTTTTCTTGAAGTTTGCTCTGATAGCAAAATACTATTGTCTTTTGTCTACCAAGTTATCATATCTGATCTTGCCAGAATGCATACCAGACCTGAAGTGATGGACCGTGCTGTGTTACGGCCTGGAAGGTTTGGCAAACTCCTTTATGTCCCTCTGCCCAGTCCAGATGAACGTGGGTTGATCTTAAAAGCTCTTGCTAGGAAGAAGCCTATAGATTCTAGTGTGGATTTAATTGCTATCGGGAGTGATGAAGATTGCGAAAACCTTAGCGGAGCTGATCTTTCTGCACTGGTTCAACTATATTGTGTTAATTTCATATTTTGTTTTCGAGAAATGCTACCTCCTCTTGGTTATAAATATCAATACAATATGTAACGGAAGTTTGGTCTCCCCATATGTATCCAGATACTTGTTTAAAACCATTCTCACTTGCGTCTGCACACTCACTCTGCCATTGTGCATGTGCATGCTTGTGCCGAGTGTGGCTCGTGGTTGGGCTTTTCCTGACTGCTCAATTTCTGTTTTTGTCAATGCTAGATGAATGAAGCAGCCATGGCTGCACTCGAAGAGAAACTGACGGCCCAAAGCAGTTCAGATGCTGATCATCCGACCTCATTGACTATCAAGAAAACACATTTTGAGCAGGCACTGAAAAACATCTCTCCATCAGTCTCAGACAAGGTTTGGGAGTTACCCTTGCTTAGTTGTTTCTTGATGCTCGTGTGTTGTCCCGTTATACAGCTCGCCTTTTCTTGGCTTTCTAATCTCTCTGTTTTGTTTGGGGTGCAGCAAAAACATTACTACCATCGTTTGTCAGAAAGCTTCAAAGCGGCATGAGAGTAAACGGAGTGGGAGTATTCCAATTGTTTGGGATCTGATTTCATTGTCGTCGTGTATGCCATCATTCATTTCAAGTTGGTGGATAATCTTTCAACCTGTGGTATCTGAGAGGGAAGACAGCAGCCCAACTCGGGAAAAACCAGGGTTCCTTAACCATGATCAATTGCGATCGCCTAGTATTAACAGAAGTTGTGTTGTGGTTTTGAATTTGTAGAAGGGAAATAAATTAGAAAAAAATGAAATAGAAGTTGAGATTTTTTTGGTTATTTTCTCTTTAAGATTTAAATACAGGCCCCCTAAGGGATATTAGAAGCTTTGAGTGTAATTTAAACTAACGTTGGGATTGTCAAATATCATTTTTTTATTTTTATTTTATTTTTGAGGATCGCTAGTGGTAAATTATTTATTTATTATGTTAAAGATTCACATTTTTAGATCTATAAATTTACTTACAATGATGTGATGAGCAGTTGGCTTAATATTATTGGTGCATAAGAGCATGTCCAACGCTTATTCAAATTAAAATTTGAGTAAAAGTTTGATCTGATATGTTGTGCTTTAATCGCTTCATTAAATTTGGTTGGTCATCCGGCTGATTATCCGACCAATCGTCCGGTTTAAAGCAAATTTTCAGCAAAATTTTGCCAAGGCAATCATCCATTCGGATGTTCTATCAGTCATCTACCCGGTCATCCACCAATGGTTGCCTACAAAATTTGATGAAAGGCTTAACGCTCCCTTAATTTCTGGCCTCGCCTTCATTTGATATGGGTTTGAAGTCATGGTTGGAACAGGAAAAAGGAACGTGTTAAGCATAAGCATTGAAGACGTTCTAACAAACAAAAAATTTACACATATCATGCAACATCATCATACATGCAATCGTGAAAATATTTTAAGGATCTCAAACATTTTTTCTATGGTATGAAAAATCTTCAAAAATCATCTTTGTTATTGGGAAATTTTAGGTAAGTCACTTTTTTTTTTCTTTTGGGTAAATTAAACTGATATCCCCTGAGATTTTTATTTAATATATATTTTTTATATTTAAAAAATTACACTTATCCCCTTGTCAAATTAAATGACATATTTGTCCTTAACCTTTATTGATATAAAATAATGCAGATATTTTGTTCATGTCATTTCAAGGGAAATAACAATCATCTTCTTTAGTTTAACTTACACAAAAAATTGAGTTTTTTTTTCATATATATATATATATTTTTTTACTGATTTTTTTTAATATCTTAAGCATTTTATTTTTATTTTTAGATATACCTAATTTAGATATACTTAAGAAGTATAATATTTTATGATTTTTTTTTTTTAAAATTCACCAAATACAAAAATATAAAAATTCAGTACATTATCTTGTTTGTAATATTCAATGATTTTTTTAAAATTGTGCACAAAATTTATACTTTTTAAATATATCTAGATTAAATCGATCTAATCTAAATATAATGGTAGAAATAAAAATAAAAAATTATATTCATATATAAAAAATTATACAAAAAATATCATAAAAAGACAATATGGTCAATTAAAAAATTTGAAGGCATAACATCAATCATTTAGAGAGCAATTTGTAATGAGATTATAAACCTCAAAAACGAAAATGTAATTTTTCAAATGTAAGAAGAGATTTGTATTTAAACAGAAACCTTAAGGATGACAGTGTAATTTATCCTTTTCTTTAAGATTCTCAACTGATTAATAAAAACTCTCAATGAAATTTTTTTTATAAGATAAAACTTAAATGCCACATCCAAATTTTGTTTAAAAAAATGTTCTTCACTATTGTTAGCTAATGGTCTAGCTTTTTTAAGTTTGGGTGATTGGAGTGTTTTTTTCAGTGAAATTAATTTTAAAAAAAATTTAAATTTTAAATTTTAAAAAGTTCATAAAAAAAAGAAATAACTGAAATTACTTTTTTAACCTTTTCTTTTTTTGGAAATTTCTTTCATACATGGACCAGAAAAGTAATTTTACATAATTATAAAAAAAAAATATCACTAAAGACATACAAAAAAAAGAAAAAAAGAAGGCTTTCTATTAGCCATATGACAAACACCTTCCACCCAAACAGGGCCTTAAAAAGAAAAAGGAATGCGTTCTGGGAAATTCCAGAGCTGAACTTCAACCAGAGAAGGAAATAATTGTGATGGGCCTGAGGATCAACCATAGCATTCTGCAGCAGGACAATGTAACCACATAGTACATGCACATAGAAAGAATCAAAAAAATGTTGCAAGTAACTGAATATTTGTCCAATTTTGTTCGGTTGAGATACACTTGTGATTGATTTGAATTTAAAATAAATTATATAAAAGATAAAATATAAAAAAGAGCCAAGCAAGTTATTTCTATGATCATACAATGCATGCTGTGAAATAAGACTATGCTAAAGATCAGTAGATGTATAGCAGCACCTAAAAAGAAAAAAGAAAAAAAAACAAAAATTAATGTTCTCTGCTAAAGGCTCAGTTAAGTCTGGATCCTTCGCACTGATCAAGCCAACTTTGCTCTTTGCAAGGTGGGCGCACTTGAAATTGGAATTCAGTCACTAATTTTGCCAAAAAAGGGGATTCAATCAAGCTCACCTATGCAAATAAAAAAGTTTAAAAAGATCACTTGGTTAGTCAATTGTGGGAGAAAATGTTGTCACAAGCCAAAAAGATAAATTGGTTGGCCAATTATTTCAACTAAAAGATTTTCATGATGCAGATGTTGAATTTGTATTCTTTTTTACAATAGGAACTCTCATTTACTACTCTCTTAATGATAGGTGTAAATGATTCAAACACCTCTTTAAGTTCTCTGAAAAAGATGACATACTGGTTTTCTACAATCTGGAGGCTAATCATGTCAATAAATCACACAATTGACATAATTACACTAACTTCTCTTTTATTAAGACTACAAAGCGGCCGAAACTAATGCAAATAGTAGAGGAATCTACTTTGTTTAAGAAAATAATATGGATTATACTGAAATAGTTAATCAATAATCAGTTTTTAATTCCAATCTATTTCAAACGCTAGATTCATAGAGATTTAAAATCACATTCACATTCTGCCACAAGATATTTTTGGACCCGCCCCAACCTCCAGATGTTGCTTGCAATATAATCAAACTTAAAGGTGGCAAGTGTAATTTACCCAAAAAAGGGATCACTAATCAATCTTTAGATTTTTCACACCATTCAATTTCCCATTTAGCAGACTAACAGCTCAATCAAACCAAGGTTATACACAACTACAGTATTTTGGGGAGCTAAAACTTGAAATGGTATACAGGCACACCTTGAAATTGGATTTCAAGAATATTAATGATGTCTGTGACGATCCTTGTCCCTTGAATAAGACGAGCCATGGTATTCACGATCTGCAGAAGAAATATTGGCAGAAGCTAGAATTCAGTTCTTTACTAAGAAAAATATATACCAAGCATACTATTAGAATCTATGAAGCACCGACACGTAGTATATATTTTTTAATTTTACATATAATATATAAAAATATATATATATATTAAACGTGTCCCCAGCGTGTCGTGTCCCCTATTTTTTAAAAATTTGCGTTTTTGCGTGTCCGTGTCGTGTCCGTGTCGTGTCGCGTGTCCGTGTCCGTGCTACATAGATTAGAATCAACATTTGAAGAAAAACAGAATACCAACCTCGAGATGAATGATGCTTCGATTTATCTGAATGCCCTCCTGCATTTATAAAGATGACAGATCAGATATACAACTTCAATTGAGAGAAAGTAGCATCCAAAAAATAATGTAAAATAGAATTGTAACAGCAGGGATTTGGTGATGACCTAAAAAGCACAGACATGTGACACGACAGATATACAAAATTTCAAAAAATACACGATAACATGCGGGGAACACGTGCAAAACATATAATTTTATAGGGTTAATTACATGGACCTCCCCTGACCTCAGGAAGGGAGATTAGTGTAATTTCATAAACTAGAAAACAGGTATGTGTAATTAGCCCAATTTTATATATTTATTTTATGTCAAAAATTTAATCTCATCAAATTTATCAATGATAGGTATTTTACTTGATAAAAATAAATTAAAAAATGGGGCATCATGTTTCCCTAATGTGTCCAACTAGAAAAGGAAAAAAAATAAAAAAGTTGGGGCAATTCCTCTAGCGTGTCCAACACATGTCTGGGGTGTGTCCGTGGAGGTGTCCATGCTTCAAAAGTGATAACTGTCAAGAATTCATAAACTAACCTGAATCCTTTCCTTTGTCCTTAGAACGGTGATCTCTGTCCTTGACTTTCTCTCTTTCCCTTTCAATGTCCTCTCGCTCTCGTTCCCTGTCAGAATCCCTTCCCCTATCGCGGTCCCGTACCTTTAGTCTATCCTTCTCCCTTTCCCTGTCCCTGTCCCTCTCCTTCTCCCTTTCCCTGTCCCTCTCCCTATCCCAATCCCTCTCCTTGTTCCTTTCCCCACTTGCGTCCATCTTACGCTCAGATTTCAATTTGGATACAGGTTCTTCTTTTGCCTCTGCCTCAACAGGCACGCTTTCAGAATCATCACCACTCTTCTTAGACTCTTTCAACTTGTCAAGTGCTGCTTTTATCAGTGCACCCTTGGACCCACCAGATTCCAGATTAGCTGTGGCCGGAGCTGCCTTGGGAGTACTGGTATCATTATTTGCAGGCGGGACACTTAGCGAACCTTCCTAAGCAAAAGAGGAATGAGGAAAAATCAAATCACCAACCAAGCTTCCTAAAGAAGAAATGAAGTTTACTGATTCCCACTTTTGTGTTTTTCTTTGTTCTCCTAAGAAATTAAAGAAAACCCATCCCATTCATTAATGACAAGCAGAAAGTAGTGATAAAGTTGATGAACAGTGATGGAGCCAGGATTTTGGCTAGGGGGGCAACATTAAATTGAAGCCTTGGCATGAATTTATCACAATCCAACTGAACCCAATTTTCATTTGGTGGTAGAATGACTAAAAATCAACGTGATTCCAAAGTTATATTTTAGAGTTGTTCTTGAGTTAACAAATCATTTTTCTTTTTTGAAATTCTTTTATTATTAATTTAATTTTTTGTTCAATTTCTAAACATGATAATCATCATAATTTAAAACGCAATCACACGTCCGTAAAAAATAAAGATAAAATTACATCAAGACGGGCGCGCATAGACAAAATTTATAAGAAAAATTTAATGTAGAAAAATTTAACATTTAAAGTGGCAAGTGCAAAGATTTTGTTGGAAAGGAAAAGTAAACAAAATAGGAGGTAGAAAGATTGAAGCGACATATTTGGAACTTCAAAAGAGCAAATTGAAAAACATTTTTAATTCAGTGTAAACGTATAATTTTCAAAAAAATGAGGGGCACAAGCAATATGTGGCTCTGCCAATGTTGGCAACCATTACAGCTGTACAAAATATAACAAAGGAAATTGCACCACCACAGAAGAAACTTTTCTTTTTATTAACTTTTTCTCCTCTGCAAATGGATGCAAGCGCACTGGGCTAGAGTGTGAGTGTGTGTGTGTGTGTGTGAGTGAGAGAGAGAGAGAGACAGAGAGAGAATGAGAATTCACCTTTGGAACTGGCTGAGATGGTGAATCCCACGATTTATTAGACGTTGTAAATGAATCCCCATCCTTACAGACAGGTATATATTTTGCCTTAGGAAGGCTGTAAAGATGGGCAAGAACTCTACAAACCTCATCAATCCCAGATTTATCTGCATCAAATGCTTTCCACCACGGTGGATTCTCAGGAAGGGGTACTTGGAATCTACGAGCAGCAGCATATACAACCCCACAGGCCACAACCTCACTCTTGAACCGCACACACAAAGTCGTACGCAAACTGATCAAGAAAAAGGATAGTCAATGAAGAAGCACCTAAACAAACGAGTGCTAACAGGTATAGTAGGAATAACAAGAATAATTTTTCTGTTCTTTGACAAGTAGCCACATGAACAAAATAATGCACCATCAAAAATAAATAATGAACCATTTCTCATTTATAATTGCCTTATTCAACAACTTCACATTAAGGACATGTTATTCTGTCTCATCCTTTCACCTTTTAAATCTACTTTTGGTACTAAAATTTACTGTGTAGAATTTTCAGTTCTAAAAAACAGCCGCTAAGCTTTCACTGCTTGTAGTTTTAAGCAACCCCTATCAATAATCACATGTGCCTATCTGTCCAAGAACCTCAATGGAAAAACAAATTAACATAATTGTTTCCCTAACACAATGATAGTATATAAACAAGCAGATAAAAAGTGTTTTTATACAAAGCTGGGGTTCAAAACCAAAACAAAACTTGCTTGCTTATGCACAAGCAAGCACAAACAAATCCATCCAAAATGTCAAAGGTATACAGAAAAGCCAAATGGTGGGAAATCATCAATACATGATAGAGATGGATAAATAAGCATATCAAATTCCACATTGTAAAAAATTGACCACTATCCATGGTTGGTAGGATGTTGGGAGCATCATCCTAGGTATAGACCTATCATTTCACATTATTTTCACAAAGTAGTTCCCTTATACTCAAATTCAAGCATGGACCATAAGTTAGTCTTTGTTAAACCACAAAACATGTTAATTTTAGAATTACATGTTAAATTCAAGTATTCAACTATTGCTGAGAGCTATACAGTTTTTGGAAAATAAATAAACCAATCTAATGGGACAAAAAATATCGAAAACAGTTCATCATCAACATCAAGGCTCAACAAGAAGCAAGTCAAAAGGATTGCAACAAAACTTCTAAGTAGAAAAGCAAACTCAGGAACTTATAGAAGCCACAGACTTTACACCATGCATCAAGTCAGATTTATTCGGGTTGAGTTTAAAGCTACCAAGTTAAATGATTGAACCATCAAACTGAAATAGGTACAAAAAAATTATATTAATAATTCAAAGCTACCTGTCATTTGCAAGATTCCAAGCTTCTTGTCTCAGTTCTGGGGGTGTCTCAAGGGCTGCAAGGTAGTTTGATATAAATTTATGAGGATGTTCGACATGGCAGATGAAACCCATCTCCTTCAGAAGATGCCTCTCTGTTCTATTCAGGTCCATTTTCAACTCTGCATATTTCTGTAAACAGGCAAAACCCAATTCCAAAGATAACAACTTGCTTTGAGAAGAAGACACATCAGGCTCCGTGAGTGACTGGGTCTTCCAAAACTAAATACTTAATTCTCAAAAAAACAATAAAAGCAAAGATAGAGAAAAAAAATTGGATACCTTTCATTACTAAATAGACAAAAATATTCATGTTTTTGACACTACAATGTCCTAATATAACGAGAAGGGAATCTAACCTTAGGAAATGTGTCCAAATGCTCTATTGGTAAGTTCTCCCTCCTACATTCCATTCTGTGGAAAACAATGAGTACCTGCCTTGCTTTTCTAGGACTTTCCTCAAGTTTTGATGCAAGCCAAACACAACTAGCAGCAACTCTCTGCAAGTAAATAAGATCAGATCCCACATCAGAAAGCATGTAAACATTGTCCTGTTTCCAATTGAATTTAGAAAATCAATGAAACAAGAATGAAACCTTCACGTTAAAACGAGCAAATGATTTCTTGCAGTAGAATCGATGAAATAGAACCTGACCAGTAGCCATTACTGCTTGAGGTCTGCAGAGAATATGATTAAAGAAAAACACCAGCTAACTATGGGAAAAGACATATTGCATTTATAGTATTCATACTGGTTTAGTAGCACTTGGTTGCCGTGGATCTATGTTACCTAGAACGCGGATTGTTCTAGTTACTAGGAATGGGAATCAGAACATGGTACACCACATGAGCTAAAATGTGGTACGATAAGGTAGACTTCTTAAATTGACCTCCAATATATTATAGTCTCCATCTAGATTTCAGTTCATTATGTTTAACTTTTTTCCTATTACGGAGAACTTTTAACGAAAAACATAGAAAAAAATTATGGGATTGCTTAGGATCATTAAATTCACCATTTTTGAACAAAAGTGTATTATAATTCGGAACATGTGTTTCAATACAGGGCGTTAGCGTTTTCTAGTAACACTGTTGTGGATTGGATAAATTCCTGTTTCAGGCAACCCCATGGAAGTATTGCATAAAATTATGCTAATTATCACAATAACAGCATCAACAACAACAATAACTAATGAAGGATACAGTTTAAGTAAAATGCCACTTTCTTGGATGAGGTCACAACCATAGATTCTGAGAGTTGTTTCAGTTGCTTCATCTATGCCATCTTTCCTAGAAGGTGAATTTTGTAGCTGCTCATCCGTTAGATAAAAGGTGTCGATTGCTGTGTAAATCATGGTTGATACAAGACCTCAACAAGATTCCCTAAACTGTGACAAAAAGTAACTCAACATTTCAGTATCCCAACAGCATCCAGAACAAGATCAATTGAAAAAGACAACAACTACTGTCTCACAAAACAATAATCAAACAATAACATGGGCAGAGAAACATGTCCAGTCAAAACAGATTTCTCGATCCAACTGCACATAGCCAACTAGTATTCTTCTAAGTGGACATCAAAACAACATAGTTTTATCTATAAATACATGTCTCTATGTATGTGTCTCCATTGTGTGCGACCCTCTAGGTTACTAAACTGAAAAGGGTTTTGTTCATTAATCAAAAATTCAACTGCAAAAGGTGTTCAAGAAACTTATACCTCCCATCCAAAGCGATTTTGCAGAACTCTGATAACAACCCAGTTTTTGAAATAAGTTTTATCATCAAATTAAAGAAATCAATACGAGAATCCCAAAAAAGAAAAAGGTAACCAATAAGAAGACAAGACATCCAACTTGTGTCTATACTTTTTTTTTCGCCACATGAAGAAATTACGCATCTCTTAAATTGCAACGTCTAGCATCCAGATAACCATTATAGTAGTAAAGGACACCCTTTCAAACAATGATTAACAACAAAAAAAAATCATTTCCTCCTTTGCACCGGTGGCATGTTCTACCGTGGCACCAATTTCTTGGAATTTTAGTTTCCTTAGGAATCTAAGTGATAGGGAGTATATTGAGTTTGCATCTTTATTGACATTGATTGATGGGGTTTCCTTATCTTTATCTTTCGATAAAAGGGTGTGGAATATCAGCTCTTCATGGGGTTTTTCTTGTAAATCTTTGTTTGACAAACTCATTGACGAGTCTTCCATTCCTTTGTTTCTTCTTCATATGAAAAAGTGTCCCTCATAAAGTGAAATTTTTCATGTGGCCTTTAGCTCAAAGAGGTATTATGACCAATGACCTATTCCAAAGGAGAAGGCCTAATCACTATCTTTGCCCTCAATGGTGTGTGATGTGCAAGAGGAGTACAGAATCAACGGATCATCTCTTTCTTCATTGTTCCGTAGCTCTTAAGTTATGGCAGCGTTTGTTCAGCTTGTGTAATGTTCAATGGGTTGCTCCAAGGATATGCTTCTAGTTGAGCTTGAAGGGTTCGGCGGCTTTAAGAGAGCCAAAACATTGTGATCTTGTATTGTTTGTGCTATTTTCTGGACTTTTTGGCTAGAGAGAAATTCGCGGATCTTTGATGGAAAGGAGACTGCTGTAGATTCTTTATGGGATAGGACTAGGTTTTTGGCTTCGTTTTGGGCCTTTATGTCTCCTCATTTTAAGGGAGTTCCACTCTTCTTGATTTCTAGGGATTAGGCTTCTGTTTGCAATCCTTAGTGATTGGGTTTCCTCGTTTTCCTTTAGTTTTTTTATAGTTGTTTTTATTTTGTTTGGTCCTTCTTCACCATATAAGGACTTCTTGTCCTCTACCTTTTCTATTACTTAATGAATTTCGTTGTTGATTTTTCACCAAAAAAATATTAAAAATTAAAAAAAAAATAGTAATAAAGGACACCTTCAAAACCAATTGAGTTACAATCAATAGCATGAATAGCCTACATATATGTTTAACATCAAACAATTTCAAATTCCTTAGTCTATAACTCGAAATACAAAATACTGGTTAGTTGGTCAGTGAAAATCACGATTGAATTTGAATTGAAAAAAATCCATTTTTCGTATTTTTATATTGAAAACCCATTTCTACTGAGTTCTAAAACCAACCAACGATTGAAATTATACATGCGCAAAAACTTACCAAATAAAAATTAAACTTAAACATCTATTGATAACGCCTCCCTCGTGAATTTGCAACCTTTGTTTCTTCTTCCAATTTGTATATATACCTATTTAAGGAGATGAGGAGAGGAAAGGAGAGTGGGTACCTGGAAGCGAGAAGCTAGAACTAAACTTTGGTGGACGAGCGGACTCGCAAGAGAACTGATCGGGAAAATTGTCGGATTCACTGCCATGCCAGTGTCGCAAGATACAGAGAGAGGGGGAGACACTCAGAATTTAGCCCTAATTTGCCATGTTGTGTTCATTTCGTGGATTTGGGAGAGTTATTTGGAAAATAAAAGGGGGGGGAGGGAAGTGTATGAAAATGTTGTTCTATTTTGGATATGATTTATATATTCATTCACATTTTATTTTATTTATTTATTTATTTATTCTAATTTATGAATCAAACACAAAGTGAAAAAATACAAGGGGAAAGTACATACAAGTTGAAATTAGGAAAAAAAATTACAAATACATGAGCGATGTAAGTGTCTGTGGTTAGGGATGGCAATGGGGGTTAATGGGGTGCATATTAATTCCCCATCCCCATTCTCCTATAATAATTTTTCCCCATTCCTCAATTGTATTACCCTCCCCGTCTTCTAATGGGTTTGGATCCTTTTTTTCTTTTTTTTTTCATTTCAAGGTTCACAACCAAAGCTAAATATACATTCAATCTTATTTTTTTTATTTGGCTCAACAACAAAATCAAATACACATTAATTAATTAAAAAGTTTGTTTTAAAATAATCAAATATATAATTTTGAAACAATCAAATAAGCTCACAAAAACATGAGATAAAATTATTTTAATATATTTATATAACAAAATCAATCTGGATTAAAGACGTTCTAATAAAATAATGTTGTTGTAATTTGGAGATGAACCAGTCCATCTTCTCTTCTCTTCTCTCTCCAGTCTCCAAAAACCATGTGTGTACAGGTATGTTCCTCTTTGTCTCCTCATTGAGTTGCTTTTCTTTTTTCCATTTGCTGTATTGGGGGGATAATAGGCACTCAGATCATTAAGCAAATTTATTGAATTTAGAAGTCAAGTTTCATTGGATTAATGTAGTCTCTATGCTGTTGATGAAATTTTGACTGGTAAGTGGGTGTTCATTACTTTATTCATTTGGTTTGTTTTTAGTTTACTGAAAATGAGATGAAGATTACCCTATTTTAAATAATCTGTTTTGAATTCCCTCATTTTGCTTTCTTACAGATTGCATCTTGCAAGCTTTACAAGTATGAATCAAAACCTCTCAATACTTATATATATATAGCCATTTTCTGAATTGCTTTAAACCAATTTGCTATCAATTTTCAAATTGTTCAGTGAAATCTCATCCAATGGAAGCAGAATTGATGGAATCTGGAGTAGCTATAAGAACTAAAAAGGATTCAAATCTTAATTCAGTACTGTAAATTAAATACCGAGAAATTTCTCTAGAATTTTGTAAACACACACACACAAGAAGTGAGTTCAAAAAAAAATCTAGCAAGAAAAACGAAAACAGATCACAATGATCATGAAGAATTAGTTACATGATCGAAAACACAAACCCAGATTAAACCAGTGAAACCAGTGAATTGTTGAGGGATTTCATGTATGTTCAGGAACAAATCAATGAAATCTGTCTTTAATTTCAGTAAGCGAAAGAGAGAGAGAAACTCACCACGTCAGAGAACCACCGTGGTAAGCACTGACGAGATCGCCGCCGCTAGCCGATGCTGGAGTGAGAAGATCCGAGTGATGTTGGAATGAAATCTGCTTAGGCTTACTGTGCAAATGAGAAGAGAACCCTAGTTCTAAACACAACATATGGAGAAATGAGCGAGTCCCCATCCCGACCCATATCCTATAAAAACACCACTTAATTACTCGATTCATAATTATGAAATAAAAAATAAATAAAAAAAAATCATATATGTGGGTCAGTTTTCATGAATATCCATAGGATAAGATTCCTATTGCCATTCTTTTCTGTGATAGAGTGTAAGGTGTTCGCGGATTGGATTTGTGCGGTTTGCGGTTCGGTTTTGACCCGCCTGCATCCATGCGGTTTGGGAAAAAGTTAAACCGCAACCGCCCGCAGTGCGGTTTACGGTTTGTGCGCATAGGGTTTGCGGATGTGTGGGCGGTTTGAATTTTTTCCTTTAGAAATTAATTTTTGAATTGTTTTTCCCATTTTATAAATATTTATTTTGGGTCATTTTCTTCCAATTTTCTAAAATACTCCAACATTAATAATTACATAAAGCCACCATGAAATTACATAAAAGGTAATTACATAATAGTTGACCTGGTAATTACATAAAGCCATCGTGAAAACCCAGTTTATAAAAGGACCTCAATTAAATTACCCTAATATCAAGTTGAGACCTGAGGCCCCTGAGAACAGGTAGTGACTCCTGAAATATCAAGCTTGCTCTCACTTCCAACCAGAAACCCTGTAGAAAAAATAGTAGAACAAGTGCTACGTGCTAAAATTGTTTGAGAAAATCAAACCAGAAAAAAAGAAAAAAGAAAAGAGGCCTTGAAGCTAACAACATATTCTGGGTAAATATGAGTATTCTTATTCATATTCCATACTATGTACTGTCTTGGAGTATGAATATCATCAACTCCACTATCAAAGTCCTCACCATTGACACATAACACACAATCAGAAATGAACAAATAAACTGAGAGTCAGAGATCTAAAAAAAAAAATCACCATTGACATAGAAATGAACAAAAAAACACCATTGACAAACAATCTTAGTCACACAGAGACACAGATCTGAATAGCACAAAAAAATCAGAGATCGGGGCGGAAAGAAAGACAGAGACATAGAGATCCATACCTGCGAGGTCGATCGGTGCGATGAGAGAATGAGGTCGATCGGTCGATCTTGCGATGAGTGAGAGTCGATCTCTTGCGAGGTTGATCGGCCCAGATGAGTGATGAGATGAGAGTGAGAGAGTGAAAAACGAGAGAGTGAGTGTGAGAGACTGATCAGATGAGAGTGAGAGACTGAGAAACGAGAGAGAGCGAGAGATGAGAGCTGCGCAATGTGTTTTTGAGTTAAGGGTTTTTTTTTTTTTTTATTGGGTATAGATGAAGTGAAGTGAACGGTCCAGACGAAAAATATATATTACGCGGACGGATTGGTCGGTGCGGTTTAAATTCGCAATTCGCCTGCAGCTTGAAAATTAGAAATATTTTAAATCGCACTCTATCTTATTATATTTGTGAAATCGCTCATACGTGTGCAGATAGGGTCGGATAGGACGAGTTGTGCAGGTCGGATAACTCTATACCTAACCCTAAATAAAAGGGTGTAGGGTATAAGTATTACTTGCATATCTCCATGCATTGGTATTTTTCTTTTTCAAACTCCAACCTCCATATAGTTTCTCAAAGTACAAAATCTATAGGTCCCGTTTGTTTTCAGAGATAGAATAAGGTAATTGATAGTGAGTGAATTAATAAAATTGTGTTTATTTTAATGATAGTTGTTAGTATGGGGATTGTTAAATTAACTTTATATAAAATAAATATAAAATAATAAAACAAATAAAATTATGATTTTTAGTTAACAAAAAATATAAAATCATTAAACATTAATATTCAAAAAAAATACCCAACATGTTAAAATAATAATAATAATAATAATTTGTAGTTGACCAGCCGGATATCCGGCAACTCACTAAGTTGACGGACTATTTTTGTAATACCATCTCTTTGCCCAACCTAACAATTTGCTCACCCAATGCCCATCCTGGTCCGAACGGACTACCAATTCGGAAGCCACAAACAAAACAAACATGAGCTACGATTATTATTCATCCATCACAGTTCACTCCGGACTCTGATGGCAGAAAACAAACGGGGCATAAGGATCTTATTTTGGGAAGTAAGTTAAAAGTTAATTTTTTGAATTTTTTTTAGTTTTTTTTTTAAATATTTAAAAAAAATAGAGAGGTGATATGACTAAAAAAGTCAAAAAATTGACTGTTAATCATGTTGCTAAAGGTTTATTTTGGAAAAGAGGTTAAAAGTCAACTTTTTAACCTTTTGATTTTTTTTTTAAATATGTAAAAAAAATAAAGAAATTATGTGATGTGATCTAAAAATAAAAAAATAAAAAAATTGACTTTTAACTAGGGGTGGGCGTGAATTGATTATGGCCACAGAATCTACAATCCGCCATCCGTCTGTCAGATTGGCGGATTGAAGAAAATCAATCAACATCCGTTCGTCAATCCGGCAAATGCTAATTGAGTGGATTGGCAAATAGATGCGTATCAATTTGATAGTTTAAAATTTTATAAATTTTTAACATGTTTACTTTCTCAAAAAAAAAAAAAAAAAAACACATGTGCACTTCTTTCCTCAACTACCATCTGTGTTCAATGCACATATATATATATATATATATATTCAAAGTTTACAAACACTTTGCAGTGGACAAACATTGTGCATATACTATCATATTTACAAACACATATGTCTATTTTTATTTTTTTACTTTTTGTTTCTCTAAGAATCAAACATGTCACATTTAATTACAAAAGAAGAAAAAAATAATACAAGTACAACCACATAATACATTCAATACTTTCATCACATATGAGTCAAACAAAAAAAGCCCAAACATTGCATTAACCACTTGGGAGTGATAAATTCAATGAACTGTATTTCCATATTAAAAATTTACGAAACAAAATTGACCTAAAAAAAACCTATTGTCAATTGACTCAATTCGCATATGAGCCACGACAAACAACAACAGTAATAGTAAAGGACGACACAACAAAAAGCAGATGAACTGCAATTCACCAAACATTAAAAAAGAAGAAAAAAACTTAGAGCAAAATTGTCACGAGAAATAATCAAATACAAAAGCACAAACATCGCAGAAACCAACTACGAGTTATAAATTCAAGTATATTTGCATATTACGAAGCAAAATTGAAGTCGAAGCCCTAATTACTAAAAAAATAAAATAAATAAACAAAAACACAAAACAGTGTCTTGAGGACACACTATCGCCGATTGCGCAATCAAAAACAAGAACAAAAGAGAAGAAAAGACGAGAATAAAAGAGAAGAATACCTTCGAATCAATAATTCAATCACTGCTCGTCGCCACTGTCACCGATAGCCAATCGTCTCTAGCCACCACTGTAGCCGATCGCTGCTCGTTGCTCGCCGCTCGCATCCATTCAAGTATGAAGGACAGAGAGGCAAAGTTGTTTCGAAACCTAGGGCTCTACAAACTTGAAATGAAATGAAAAAAATAGGGACAAGACAGAGGGAAAAATGGGGGAAATTAACTGGTGGCAGACAGGTTGGCCAAGTCAGTGAATTTGGCGATTTACCCACAATCCGCCCCGCATCTGTGAAAACGATATTTTTTGGCCTGATGCCCGTCACGTGTTACACATTCACCTAAAACGTGCCAGGTCAAGTCAAGCAAATGTGGCGGCTTGGGCCATCCACTGCACACCTCTACTTTTAACCCAACTGGTAAAATAAGCAGAAGCATGATCGGTTCAGGTACCAGCTTAAGCAATTTTGAAGGATAATTTACATTTTATCCATTTTTTGTTTAATTATTTTTTTCCTTTGACCCTTTTTTTTTTTAATTTTGATCTTTTGTATTTAAAGTTTTTTTCAATTTATTTTAAAATTAATTTTTATTTAAAATTAAACAAAAATAAAGAGGTAATATGGCCCAAATAAATGTACCCATCTAAATAAATACACTTATTTGGAGGATGCCAAACAAACTCATTTGACTTTTTAACTTTTTTTAGTTATATATATATATTTTTTTTTTCAAAATAAACCCAGTTTTGATAATTTTAAACATCATATATGAACTGATGACGCTGCTACAAGCTTACACAAACTTCAAATTGAGTTTTTACGACATGCACAACCAACAAAAATGAGAAAAAGTAGCAGTGTAACAACCACAAAAAAGCATTGAAAAAATTTCAAATGACTCCTATTCACAACCACCTCTATGCCAAACCGAGTTACCATCAGAACCGGAAGTCAAGGCTCCCCAATAATTCATCCGGTTCAAACCTGCCCCCACCGTACTACTTCAACCTTAAGCCATCCTATTATACCTTTTTCATCCCTGCTTTGTGTCTCACAAAGTGGCCATTTGGGAACCCAATGAAAAAGTTGAGTTTTCAACAGCTTCTAAAATGCAATCCCAACAGCTAAAAGCACCAAACATCATTTGGGAAGTGCAGAAATACAAGGTGTGAAATTACTGCGCTGTCCTCCATGTTAATATATAAGCTAGAAAAGGAGCCAAATGGGCCAAAAAGTAAATTTCCTAAATTAAGTGGGAGTATTTTGGCCATTTTACAGTAAAGTGACATTATAAATAAATATTAACAAAAAAACAAAAAAGTAAGTTTTTACCAACTTCTTAAATCACTTTCTAAAAAAATCAAAAAGTTTAGTTAAAAGTCAAAAGTTAGTTTTTAGCCATACTTTTAACCATCTTCCCAAAATACTCCAAAGTTTATACCTTCGTTTGACATAAGTTAAAATACGGCTTTTTGACTAAAATAGTCACAAAAAGACAAAATAAGTTTTTTAATCCAACAAAATAAAATGTCACATCCAAATCATAATAATTTTATTTTTTCTTTCACAAAAGTTAAAAAAGGATAAAAGTTTATTCCAAACAAGGCTTTTTAATCCTAAACTAAAAAAGTCAAAAAGTCAACCTACATATCAAATGAACGCATGTCTTCTTCAAAAGGAACCAAACCATACTATGTCTTCGTTTGGGATGTAGGTTGACTTTTTAACTTTTTAGTTTCTTAGCCATTTTAGCCTGAGACTAAAAAGTCTCGTTTGGAGTATGTTTTTTTGTTCTTTTGATTTTTATAAGAAAAAAATAAAATGATTATGATTTGGATGTGACATTTTATCTTATTGACTTTTTAACTTATTTTGTCTTTTCATGGCTAAAATAACTCAAAAAATATCACAAAAGTTAAAAAATTTTATCCTAAACGAGACTTTTTAACCTCATGTTAAAATAACTAAAAAATTAAAAAATCAACCCACTTCTTAAACGAAGGCTATGACTAGAATCCACAACACTTTCAAACTCCCCTTCCATCCATTTTTCACAGTTGCAGCTACCCCTGAAAAAATGCAGTCCATCAAGTCCCTATGCTCCAAGGATTTTGTTTTCAAAGACAATTTTTGTCAATCTGTACCAAAAAAATAATAATAATAAAATAAAATTCAAATTAGAACACAAACAATGAAAGCATTACATAAAATTCAAATTAGAACACAAACAATGAAAGCATTACATAAATGTAACGACATTGCTCTCATATGTCATTGCCAATCGAAGCCTCAGTATGTTTCTTGTACCAAAAAAAGGGGAAGGACTGTTCAAATCAATTATTCCTTTTTTTGAAAGAAAAAAGAAATCACAACAAATTAATCAACTAGTTTGATTCTGATTTTAGAAAACAACTTTCAGAAAATTCTTTTTTTTTATTTTCCGTATTTTAATGTTTTCAATAATTTTTTTTAATATTTTAAATAATTTTTTAATTTTTAAGCGCACCTAACATAAATATACTTAAAAGTATAATATTTGTAAAAAAAATTTAAAAAATACAATAAATACCAAAAAATACAAAAAACATTTAACAAATATTCACCAAAAATTAAAAAATTAAAAAACTCAATTTTTAGAAAACTGAAACTAAACATACTGGGTATGTTTGGTTTGCATTTGGGAGATGAGTTTTAGAAAAAAAATTGTTTAGTTTGAGTTTTTCTCCAAAAAATTTCAAAATCACTTTCTCTCTGTTACACATCAATCAATTACTTTTTCTCTCACACACATCTATTCAAATTCTCTCAAAATATCAAATCATCCCAAATTCTCAAAAAAATAACTCTTCCAAAATATATAACCAAATAAACCAAAAAAATTTCTAAATTTTTTTCCCAAATTTTTTTTCAAAAACAACTCTCTCAAAAACAAACCAAACAAACCCACTGATTCCTAAGCTATCTCCAATCCAAACTTAAATCTTTCATCAAATTTAAACTTAACAAAAATTTAATGAAAACGTGTTTCAACCATTTTACCAAATTAATATCTAATAAAAAAGTCTTCATTTTTTATCAAATTAAAAAAGCATTTTAATTTTTCATTAAATCTTACAAATAACCATTGATGGACAATTAACCAAACAACTTGATAGACGACGGAATTGAGGAAATTTTTAAAAAAAATTTACACTACACCAAACAACCACCTAAACATCATCCCAATAGTCAACTAGCTGCTTAATGAATCTTATGTCTTGTTTGAGAAATGACTTTTTAATTAAAAGGTCAATTTTTTTTACATCATATTTTAATTAAAAAATTAAAAAAATATTAAAAAATTATGTTCCCAAACAAGACCTTATAAATTTAACATTAAAATATTTTATATGAAATAAATTTTTTAATTCAAATCTTTACTCAAATTTAATAAGAGAAAAAAAAATTAAAAATGCTCTTAAAACATCTCCAAAAATATCTTTTTAAAACTCAAGGATTGTTTTAAAAAATAAATTAAAAACTGACTTTTTAAATTTTTTTAAATGTGTAAAAAATTTTAAAAATATGATATAATTCAAAATAAATTAAAAGTTAAATTTTAATTTATCATCTTTTTATAAAGAATAAAGCTTTGGACCCCAGTGGGGGTACTGGGGGTCACTTCAACCTTAAGCCATCCTATTATACCTTTTTCATCCCTGCTTTGTGTCTCACAAAGTGGCCATTTGGGAACCCAATGAAAAAGTTGAGTTTTCAACAGCTTCTAAAATGCAATCCCAACAGCTAAAAGCACCAAACATCATTTGGGAAGTGCAGAAATACAAGGTGTGAAATTACTGCGGTGTCCTCCATGTTAATATATAGCTAGAAAAGGAGCCAAATGGGCCAAAAAGTAAATTTCCTAAATTAAGTGGGAGTATTTTGGCCATTTTACAGTAAAGTGACATTATAAATAAATATTAACAAAAAAACAAAAAAGTAAGTTTTTACCAACTTCTTAAATCACTTTCTAAAAAAATTAAAAAGTTTAGTTAAAAGTCAAAAGTTAGTTTTTAGCCATACTTTTAACCATCTTCCCAAAACACTCTAAAGTTTATACCTTCGTTTGACATAAGTTAAAATACGGCTTTTTGACTAAAATAGTCACAAAAAGACAAAATAAGTTTTTTAATCCAACAAAATAAAATGTCACATCCAAATCATAATAATTTTATTTTTTCTTTCACAAAAGTTAAAAAAGGATAAAAGTTTATTCCAAACAAGGCTTTTTAATCCTAAACTAAAAAAGTCAAAAAGTCAACCTACATCTCAAATGAACGCATGTCTTCTTCAAAAGGAACCAAACCATACTATGTCTTCGTTTGGAATGTAGGTTGACTTTTTAACTTTTTAGTTTCTTAGCCATTTTAGCCTGAGACTAAAAAGTCTCGTTTGGAGTATGTTTTTTTGTTCTTTTGATTTTTATAAGAAAAAAATAAAATGATTATGATTTGGATGTGACATTTTATCTTATTGACTTTTTAACTTATTTTGTCTTTTCATGGCTAAAATAACTCAAAAAATATCACAAAAGTTAAAAAATTTTATCCTAAACGAGACTTTTTAACCTCATATTAAAATAACTAAAAAATTAAAAAATCAACCCCACATCCCAAACGAAGGCTATGACTAGAATCCACAACACTTTCAAACTCCCCTTCCATCCATTTTTCACAGTTGCAGCTACCCCTGAAAAAATGCAGTCCATCAAGTCCCTATGCTCCAAGGATTTTGTTTTCAAAGACAATTTTTGTCAATCTGTACCAAAAAAATAATAATAATAAAATAAAATTCAAATTATAACACAAACAATAAAAGCATTACATAAATGTAACGACATTGCTCTCATATGTCATTGCCAATCGAAGCCTCAGTATGTTTCTTGTACCAAAAAAAGGGGAAGGACTGTTCAAATCAATTATTCCTTTTTTTGAAAGAAAAAAGAAATCACAACAAATTAATCAACTAGTTTGATTCTGATTTTAGAAAACAACTTTCAGAAAATTCTGTTTTTTTATTTTTCGTATTTTAATATTTTCAATAATTTTTTTTAATATTTTAAATAATTTTTTAATTTTTAAACACACTTAACATAAATATATTTAAAAGTATAATATTTGTAAAAAAAAATTTTAAAAATACAATAAATACCAAAAAATACAAAAAACATTTAACAAATATTCACCAAAAATTAAAAAATTAAAAAACTCAGGGCTTGTTTGGTTTGATTTTGGGAGATGAGTTTGGGAGATAAAAAGTACGAAAAGTTGTTTGGTTTGGTTTTTTTGGAAAGATGTTTTGGAAAATTATTTTGAGAGAGAGTTTTGAAAAAAGTGATTGATTTGATGTGTATGAGAGAGAGATTTGTTTGGAAAACTTGTTTGGTTTACAAGTTTTGGAAAAAAATTTTGGAAAAATTTGTTTGGTTTGAGTTTTTCTGAAAACTCATTTGTAGAGAAATTTTCCCAAAAAGTTTTGGGAAATTCAAACCAAACGAACCCTCAATTTTTAGAAAACTGAAACTAAACATACTGGGTATGTTTGGTTTGCATTTGGAAGATGAGTTTTAGAAAAAAAATTGTTTAGTTTGAATTTTTCTCCAAAAAATTTCAAAATCACTTTCTCTCTCTTACACATCAATCAATTACTTTTTCTCTCACACACATCTATTCAAATTCTCTCAAAATATCAAATCATCCCAAATTGTCAAAAAAATAACTCTTCCAAAATATATAACCAAATAAACCAAAAAAATTTCTAAACTTTTTTCCCAAAATTTTTTTCAAAAACAACTCTCTCAAAAACAAACCAAACAAACCCACTGATTCCTAAGCTATCTCCAATCCAAACTTAAATCTTTCATCAAATTTAAACTTAATAAAAATTTAATGAAAACGTGTTTCAACCATTTTACCAAATTGATATCTAATAAAAAAGTCTTCATTTTTTATCAAATTAAAAAAGCATTTTAATTTTTCATTAAATCTTACCAATAACCATTTATGGACAATTAACCAAACAACTTGATAGACGACGGAATTGAGGAAATTTTTTAAAAAATTTACACTACACCAAACAACCACCTAAACATCATCCCAATAGTCAACTAGCTGCTTAATGAATCTTATGTCTTGTTTGAGGAGTGACTTTGTTTAATTAAAAAGTCAATTTTTTTTACATCATATTTTAATTAAAAAATTAAAAAAATATTAAAAAATTATGTTCCCAAACAAGACCTTAAAAATTTAACATTAAAATATTTTATATGAAATAAATTTTTTAATTCAAATCTTTACTCAAATTTAATAAGAGAAAAAAATTAAAAATGCTCTTAAAACATCTCCAAAAATATCTTTTTAAAACTCAAGGATTGTTTTAAAAAATTAATTAAAAACTGACTTTTTAAATTTTTTTAAATGTGTAAAAAATTTTAAAAATATGATATAATTCAAAATAAATTAAAAGTTAAATTTTAATTTATCATCTTTTTATAAAGAATAAAGCTTTGGACCCCAGTGGGGGTACTGGGGGTCATTATTTTATTATTATATTTATCTATTTATTGTTAAAATTTTGTGTGTTTGAACATATTATAGATATGTTTTGTTTTTGTAATTTTTTTTAAAAAAAATTTGCGTCAAATTCAAAATTTAATAATAATAAAATATTTCTCTATTTATTTAATAAACATTTAATGAAAGAATTGAAAATAATTTTTGCACTCTTAAATGAAGACAAAAAAGATTGGACATACTCTCGCCACACAAAATATTCACCAAAACAGTGAACATCCAAGTATTTTGCTGAAACATACACGAGAGAGAGAGAGGGCTTGTTTGGTTTATTTTTGAAAAAAAAAAATTGAAAAAAATTCTCTACAAACAAATTTTAAAAAATAATCAGACCAAACAAATTTTTTCAAAAAAAATCTTAAGATTTTGTTTGATTTGCTTCTTTCCAAAATCACACTCTCTCTCATACACATCAAATCAATTATTTTTTTTTAAATTCTCTCTCCAAAACAATTTCCCAAAATCATTTCTAAAGAAAAAATAAATCAAATAAATTTTCATACTTTCTCTCTCAAAAACTACTCTACAAACGCAAAGCAAACAAACCCAGAGAGTTTTCACTCATAGAAGGCTTAAACTGTAATCATCTTCCCAAAGGAGAGGGCTATCATAAAGTTCTAATACAAGACCCAAAAACAAAAAATTCAGAAGCATTTTGTATTTTACATGATCAAAAACCAAGTTCCCTAAAACTCCTGAGAAGCAGAACCAATCTCGCCCTTGCCTTTGCCCACCTTCTTCGGCAGCAGTGTCTGGTGAATGTTGGGCAAAACACCTCCATTAGCAATGGTCACTGAACCCAACAGCTTGCTCAGCTCCTCATCATTCCTCACCGCCAGCTGTATGTGTCGAGGCACTATTCTGTTCTTCTTGTTGTCCCTCGCTGCATTACCAGCAAGTTCTAAAACCTGCAAACATTACAAAAATTACTCAATCGATGCATCAGAAACACCCAAGACTCACACTTTAGGAAATTCACTTATTAAATTAAATGGGTCAATGATATGAAAAGGATAATCTCCTCAACAGCATCAATCAAATAGTCCATAAGCACAAACCCAAACCTAATTATAAAATTCTACACATTTCCACAATATATTTGCTAGCAGTGGATACAAACTAAACACATTTATTTTCCGGATAGTTTGATAGATTAGAAAGATAGGTTAAATTTGAAAACTATTTTAGCTTAGTGAATGTAGAGTCTTAAATTAACCAAATCATAAATTTGGGTGAGTAGAAATTAAAATTTGAAGAAACTTCAAAAATCATTTCCATCGTTTACACCAAATGGACTGCACAATTTTATGAATGAGAGTGTTGAAATCAAATCTATTCTTTTTTATTTAACCAAAAAGGGGGACCAAAAAAAAAAACCAGGGAAAATTTGTTTTCAAATTTAACATGTGAGACATTTGGTCATTTATTTGGTAGAAAATTTGCACAAAATTGCGGACTCCACACCCATGTAAGACATTTGGTCATTTGTTTGGTAAAAATTTTGGTATCCTAGCATTACTCTTTCTATAAAATATTTACAAATTCATGAAAAATTTAAAACTTCAATTATTAAAATTGATAAACTTTTCAACTGATTTGCAAGTTTTTTTCTTTCTTCCCCCCGGAGGGGGGGGTGCTTGAACTAAAGTGCAATTTCCCAAAAAAAAAAAAAAAAAAACTACTTACAAAAACAAATTATTAAAGAACAATTATAAAAAAGGAAAATTGCAATTCAAAGTAAAGTTTCCAAAACAAATTGCAAATTAATGGTAAAACTTTACCAACTTTAATAATTGAAGTAATAAACATTTCCATGATTTTGCAATTTTTTTTGGGTCTTATCACAAATTTGCAATTTTCCCTTATAAAAACGACATTGACGATGATTAAAAACAAAACAATCAAATCTTAAAAAAAAACAAATGCATATCGCGTTCCGACCGGAAGAGCAGGAAAGTGAAAGTACCTCGGCGGCGAGGTACTCGAGAACAGCAGAGAGGTAGACGGGAGCCCCGGCGCCGACTCGTTCGGCATACTTTCCAGCCTTTAAGAATCGAGCGATCCTACCCACAGGGAACTGAAGACCAGCCTTGTGAGACCGAGACACCGATTTCGAAGCCTTGGGCTTTCCTCGCCCTCCCTTCGTCGATCCTCCACCCGAACTCATTTTCTTTCTTCAAAAACTTCGAGATTCTCAAAAACACGAACCCTAACCCTAAGCCTAACCCTAACGCTAGACTTGTTGATTTGAAAGAGAGTATGGGAAAGTTGTTGATTTGAAAGAGAGTATGGGAAAGAGCCGAGATCGTGAGTGGAGATGATTTAGGCGAGGATGAATTTATATATAGGCGAAAAGTCTCGAAGCTAATTGGTGGAGAGAGTTTCGCTCGGATTGCCAACGTGGCAAGTCTTTTTTGTGCTTTCGCGGGAAGCTACCTGTTCGCGTACTTTAAAACTGAGTTAAATTACAAATACACCCTTAATATTTAATTAAAATATAAATCGTCCGTCATAATTTCAGGAATTACATTTTATCTTTAGAAATTTTTAATTTTATAACAAATTATCATTTTTCTTAACAAATTATCAAGTTAATTAATAATTTTCAATAATATTATAATACATTTTAATTAATAAGGATGAATTTATATATAGGCGAAAAGTCTCGCAGCTAATTGGTGGAGAGAGTTTCGCTCGGATTGCCAACGTGGCAAGTCTTTTTTGTGCTTTCGCGGGAAACTACCTGTTCGCGTACTTTAAAACTGAGATAAATTACAAATACACCCTTAATATTTAATTAAAATATAAATCGTCCGTCGTAATTTTAGGAATTACATTTTATCTTTAGAAATTTTTAATTTTATAACAAATTATCATTTTTCTTAATAAATCATCAAGTTAATTAATAATTTTCAATAATGTTATAATACATTTCAATTAATAATTTAGGTAATTTTATTATTATTATATAGAAGAACAATTATGAATTTTATTTTTTTAGTTAATTCTGTTAAATAAAAAAAGTACTAAGAAAAAGGTATTTATAATTTTTCAAACTATAGAAAATAATCTGTACTTTAAGCAAATCTCAATAAGTGTATTCGTAATTTACTCTTAAAACTACGCAACTTTGGGTTTGAATTTCAATTGGTACAAAAGCATCTTCAACGCGTATTTAGGATTGTTTTGGAAAGTTAGTTCAAAATTAATTTTCAAATTTTTTTTAAAATGTATAATAAATAAAGAAATGATGTGATTTTTATTTTTTTAGATGTATAAAAAATAAAGATATTATACTTAAAATAGGTTAAAAATTATAAGATGACTTTTAACCATTTTCCTAAATTGTTTATTAAGGGCATGTTTGGGAAGATGAGTTGGGGCTAAAATAGTCATATAAGACAAAATGGACTATTTTAGCCCAATAAGATAAAACATCACATCCAACCCATAATCATTACATTTTTCTTTCACAAAAAATTCAAAAAAAACAAAAAAACCAAAAAACCCTTCCCAAACGAAATTTTTTAGCCCCAAGCTAAAATAGCAAAAAAGTCAAAAAGTCAACCTACTTTCCAAACGAATTCTAAATTTGAATAAAAGTTTAATTTGATATGTTGTCTTTTAAGAATGTCTTGAGAAGATGGTTAAAAATTATTATTATTTTTTTTTAATGTGAGATGTGATGTGACCAAAAATTGGATAAAAGTTGACTTTTGGCTTTTTTATGATATTCCTAAATGGCTCATTAATCATTTTATCAAATTTAACTGGTCATCTTACTAGTTGTCCAACCGGCCGTTTGAGTTAGAGCAAATTTTTCCAAATTTGTCATCCATCAGGTTGTTTCGTCGGTCATCCACTTAGTTGACCAGCTAGTCATCCACTAATGGTCGACTGCAAATTTTGATGAAATATTAAATGCTTTATTGATTTGATGAAAATTTTGATATCGCCTTCATTTGATATGAGTTTGGTGCCATGATTTAAGCAGAAAAAGGACACGTGATTCATCAAATTTAAATTTGATGAAACACCTGAATAAAGCATAGAGGTGTAAATCTGGCCCGACTCGACCCATGTCAGACCTCATGGGTTCCTGCCAAAATTCAGACCAGTCTACGAGTCAAAAAAATAGGCCCAGACCTAGGTCTTAGCCTAAGGGTATTCAGGCCTTGGACAGGCGGGGGCTTGGGCAGGCATGACAATTTTATTTTTATTTTTTTAAAAAAATTTACAAAATTTTATTATTTTTCACTAAAAAAGACACGGGATCTCAACGCGGACCGAGCCTTGAGTGAGCCTTAAACGGGCTGATGGGCTGGGCCACGAGTTAGGCCACGGGCTAGGCCAAGTTTCAAAATGATAGCCTAAGTCCAAGGGCCTGGGCTAGGCTTAGGCCCAGGCCTAAACGGGTCGGACCCGCCCTAGCACGCGGGTGGGTTTCGGATTGTCCACGGGCCACAAACCATTTTTACACTCCTAAGCGAGCTTTTGAGATACTATAATAAGGACTTTTGGCCTCATTTTGTTTAGCGGATTAAATTTGATGAGATTATGAGTACGAGTAAAAAGATTATTAGTGTGATAATATTAGATTGAGAATGTAAGATAAAGCATGTTTGTTTGCGTACTAGTGTTGTAATATTAGCTAGTTAAGACTAAGTTTTCGTTTGGATGTGGGTTGTTTTTTAACTTTTCGGCTGACTTTGTTTGGGAATAAGCTATTTTAGTAACTTTCTTGTTTTTTATGAAAAGATGTGCAAAAAAGTAGAGAATAATGTGACAACTTATAGTGACTTTTTTGCTAAAATATATAGTTGGTAAACGAGGCAAGTCTGGGGTTAAAAAGTCAAGTTTTGTATGAATTTTTTGACTTTTTTTTTTTTTACTTTTGTGAGAGAATAAATAAAATTATTATAGTTTGGATATAATATTTTATCTTATTAACTTTTTAGCCTATTTTGATTTTTTTTTAAAACTATTTTAGCCTCGTAGCCTTTTCCCAAACGAGTGCTAAATCTTTAAAATTACCTAAAAACTCCCTTCACATATAATAGAAATTTTATTGATTTTGTAAAATAGAGATCAAAATTGTAATTTAGCCATCAAATTGTGAGGGATTAGCTATTCTAACCCTCCATGAGAATGCTAACCCCACCACGGGAGGAAATTCATAGAAAATTGTTTGTGGGCCCGAAATCAACGTCTCGAATTTGGCTTGAAACCCCAAACAATGTCGTTTTGGGTTTCATTTTTTTTTTCATTTTTTTAATTTTTGTAATTTTTCTTCATTTTCTTTCTTTTTTTTCTTTTTCTTCCTTTTGAACATAAAGGCGAGAGAGAGAAACACAGAAGCAAGAGACAAGAGAGAGAAAGAAGAGAAGAGAAGAGAAGAAGAAGAAAGAATAAGGAGAAAAGATGGGAAGAAGGAGGAGGAAGAGAAGAAGACGATTATGTTCTGAATCTTTTTTTTTTTTTTTGGCTGATGATGATCTGATGATAATGATCCCTTGATGATGATGATGTTGATGTGGATCTGATCTGCAGGGGGAAAAGAAAATTTTAAATTTTTTTTCCTTTCTCTTCTATTTTCTTCTTCTGTTTCTGTTTATTCTTCATCCTCATCTTCAAAACAATGAGAAAGGGGGGAAAAATTTTTTTTCCAAAACGACGTCGTTTTGGATTCGGGCAAATTCGAGCTCGAGCATTTCGGGCTCCGTATCATGTTTGGAATTCATATTCCCATGAGATTAGCAATTTCATAGCATTTTGTTGCACACAAACATGAGTTTTATGGGTCTCACAGATTAATAATCCAATCCTCCCTCCCAAACCCTCAATCAAATATCGCCTTTGGATAATGAAATTTTGGTTATTATTCGGGTGGCCTTTCTGGGTCGGGTTAAGTACCTCATTTTGATTGTTTGGGTTTAAGGGCTCTTGTTTGAATTTTTTAGGCTCTGTTTGGTTGTGATTTGTAAACGTGTTTCTACACGTGTGTTTGAGTATGATGTTTGGTTATGGTTTTGAAATCAATTTTCACGAGCTCTACAAAGAACTCTGTGCATCAGCCGCGTTTTTTGTGAAAATTTTGCCTGAGGAAGTCCACCCGGATGTCCTCTGAATTCCAGATTTTTTTTTTTTCGATTGATTTATATAATCGGGAAAAATATTTTCTGAAATTTTTTAAATTTTTTATGTACTTTAAAATAATTTTGAGTTGTATGTTTAGTTATGAGTTGTAAATTTTTGTATCACATATCAAATGTCACATCAACAATTTCCCACTCAAATCAAACCTCTTTTCCAAAACTATTTTCAAAACTCTTTACCAAACAAATTTTCTACACTCAAATCATAATTCTACAACATACAAACTCAAAATATAACTCATACTCTTAAATCACATTTACAAAATACAACCAAACGCAGGCTTAATTTTTTTCATTTTGCTTTTATTTATTTTTATTTTTTATTTCTTAATTTGTGGAAATTACCATTAAGTAGTAATCTTCGAAACTCATTACACATTCATGTAAAAGTTAATAATTCTAATTAATAATTTTATAAAATTTATCATTATTTATTGATAATGCAGTTCGTCCTGGGTGGATGGGCTGGGCTGGTCCAAGTTCCTCAAGTTCCGATTCGGGCGGATGACTCCTCCAGATGACCTGCAGACAAGTCCAAAGAGGAACGGGGTAGTCCCCCAGTAAACCCTCCGACGAGCGAATTAGTAGAGGAAGAAGGAAAATGTAGAGAAAGAAAGAGAGAGAGATAGAAAAACTTAACCTTCCTCTTGTCTTCCATTCTTGCCTATATCCTTTGGTAATCATTTCAATGTCTCTTGTGACGTGCCCCCTTCCGCCGAAAGCCTGTGCCGCAGCTTACCTTGTTCAGGGTGAGGGGGCTCTGTTCCGACGGGGAGGTGTTGTCGTAATAAATGCTGTGATAGGCTGCATTAATGGTGATGTGTTGTGGAAATAACTCTGCAGATATTTGTCTGCTGATGTGGCCTGTGTTCCACCTGCCATGTGCCTGAATGCCATTGGCCCTTCATGTCCAGATGCCTTCCAGCTGTCCTGGGCTTTGCCAACCGGGTTATGCTATGGGTCCCAAGCGATGGGTTTGGGGTGGTTTGCTGTGGGTCGTAAGCCTTGTGGGCCTATCCATGTCAGTAGTCCCCCATTTTCGAGTGCAGCTTTAGCCTAACGAAGGGAATAATAATAAGGAAAAGAAGTGCGAACCGAGTGAAGAGGCCGACCGGTAGCCGTGCCGACCGCAAGGGTGACCGAGCGGGAAAAGCTGATCGTGAGGGTGGCCGAGCGGGAAGGGTCAACCGTGAGGCGTGCCGACCGCGAGGGTGGCCGAGCGGGAGGGGTCGACCGTGAGGGTGGCCAAGCGGGAAGGGTCGACCGTGAGGTGTGCCGACCGCGAGGGTGGCCGAGCGGGAGGAGTCGACCGTGAGGCGTGCCGACCAGGATGGCGCGGGGCTCAAAAAAGAGGGGCGATGGGGTGGTGCCATGTGATGATGTGAAATGGAAAGGACAGGGTAAGGGGAGGGGACAGTGCATCGTGGCCATACACGTGGCAATATCGTGGGGGAAGTGAAGTGTTGAAGCAGAAATGAAACGATAGGTCACAAGGAGGGTTTTGAAAAGGCGGTTTTGGCGGTTGATTTGAAAGGTTTTGAAACGGGCGAAAATTAATGTGGATCCATGAAATACGGGTAAACCGTGGGTTTTTGGTATAATGCGTTTCACCTACCTTTTTACAAAAACTCAAAATATCCAAGTGTTAATTCATTCATTGCGTACGACACACCTGTGCAGCATTTTCTCAACTTCCTTGTTCCTGCGCCATAAGTGATTTGTAAGCAAACCCTAGAAATGGCACAAGAAGAAGTGGTCAATGTGAGGGTGGATCCGCTAGGAGACGATGATGCAGAGGAGCTAGCAGCGCGATATAGGACGGAGACACGAATGGTGGGGGTGGGGGAACCGGTGGGAGAATCGCAGGCGTCGGCCCTGATATTGGCTCCAAAGCCAATAAGCCAGGTAGAGTCAGATCAGTGGCACACTAAGGCGGACAAATCCACACTCACTGCGGCGGATTTGGAGGCTATCAGGAAAAGATACCAGATTCCGGCGGAGGTGGAGTTATTGCTGCCAACATCAAGGGAAAGGCCGTCTGATGCTAGGCCAGGGGAGTTTTCCCTGTACGAGGAGGCGCTAAAAGGTGGGCTGAGGTTGCCACTGCCCCAAGTGGTGGTTGACGTGCTGAATCGCCTGGAGGTAGCGCCGGGGCAATTGATGCCTAATGCATGGAAGATTTTGCTGGCCTGTGCGAGTGCGTGGCCCAAGGCGAATGGAGGGGAGGCCATGACGGTAGATGAGTTCTTTTCATGTTACAAGGCGTCGAGACAGCAAGAAACGTGGGTCACCCTACAGGCGGTGATGGGGAGGGAATTGGTGGCGGGGCTGCCGACATCGATCAAGGGGTGGCGGCCACAGTGGTTCTACGTGTCTGCTAATGGGGGAGTGGGGGTGCACACCATCTGGAAGGTGCCAACTAGGTCGATGTAGTCGAGACTGGGGGCAATGGCGGAAGAGAGGGTGAAGAGAGTGAAGGAGTGGAGAGAGAGAGAGAGAATGCCAAATGGGACAAGCTTGTTCAACCGTCCGCATTGTTTGAGGCGGGGCTGGGACCGCAGCCGAAGGGTGGGGACCTCGACTGAGCAGAATTGGAGGCGAGAAGAAAAGCTCAGGAGGTAGAAGATCAGGCCGTTCTAGCCAAGGCCACGAAGTTGAAGGAAGTGCGAGGAGACCAACCGCCTCAACCGATCGCGCGGGAGAGGATCCGATCGCGCCCAAGGCCGTTGGGGGGAAAAAACTTAAGCAGTTTTGAGCCGCGGCCGCCCCCCGTAGACCCTATAAAAGAACAGGCCAGAAAGGAGGAGGAGGCTCTGAAAAAGAAGAAGAAGAAGAGGAGCGCCCCAGAGGAAGCCGCAGATGAGTCTGGGGCCAAGAGGGCTAGGGGGGCCCCAACTGAGGTGGAGGTCCCTGTGGCCAAGGATGCCCCAGAGGTGGTGGAGGTCATCCCAATAGTGGAGGCTGTGGAGATTGCTCAAACAGGGCAAGTAGAGGCTGGGCTGACAGAGGCGGCGCCGAGCGGAAGGAAGCAGGTCCAAAAGGGGCCTGCCCCCCAGGAAGGAGGGATTCATCTGGCTACGGCAATCTATCATGCGCGCGCGGTAGCTGGAAGGTTGGAGGGAGAAGAAGGCCCAGCCAGGGCGGGGGCAGACCGCTTGGTGAAGATTGTGGAGAAGACAGCTCTGCGCGCGGCATCAGGATATAATGAGGCTGACCTGCTGAGGGGGTTATTCTCCGCCCAAATGGAGGTAACTACCTTGGCGGGGGCCCTTCTTAGGAAGGCAGGGGCTGCCAAGTTAAAGGCTAAAGAGGCCAAGGCCCAGTTGGCCAAAATGAAGAAGGACAGTGCCGACTGGAAGACTGCCTATGCTGAACTGCAAGCAGTCAGGTTGGAGCTGGAGGATACACACCGTAAGGTCGTGTCGCTCGAGTTCCAACTGGCTGGCGAACAGAAGAAGGTGGAGGAGTCTGAAAGGGCCTGCGCCGTTGCGCTCGAATGGCATGAAGAGGCCATGAGCAGTAACGAAGAGGTGGTCAGGCAAAAAGATGAGGCAGATGCCAGAATTGAAGAGCTGTTGAGGGGGATGGAGAATGAGCGCGTCAAGGCAGAGGAGGAGAAGGGGAGCCTGATGAGGGAATGGGAAACAGAGAAGGCGAAGGCGATGGCAGAGCTGGAGAGTCTGAAGAAGGGGGTGGAAGAGGAGAGGGCGACGGCGGCTGCTGAAAGGGGGGCCCTGCAAAGAGAGCTGGACGAAGAGAGGGCGAAGGCGGCGTCTGAGAGGGCGGCCTACCCTGATCTGTGCGTCGCAGCAGTGGAGCAATATAAAGTGTCCCCCGAATTTCAAATGGCGGTAGACGCTGCTGTCGGCAGGAGTTTGGCTGGGCAAGAGTCCGGGGGGGTGGGCCCATCAGGGAAGACTACTGGAGGTAGGACAGAAGCAGATGTGATTGAAAGCTTCCAGCAGTCAGACTTCTACATGCACGAAATGGCCGAGTTCTGCGACAGCGGTTGGAAGATGTTCAAGCGCATAGCTGAAGAGCTGTTCCCACACTTGGACCTGAGTAGTGTAACGATAGGTGAAGATGATGTGGCCCAGACCCCCCTGGACGAGGCCATTGAAGAAGAAGAGCTGGCGTCCAGCGAGGAGGAATGACCAAGAAGAAGAGGAGCTGGTCATGCTCTGTGTTTGTGTGTTTTTTTTTTTTTTGGACTGGTGTACACATTGTAAATGAATGAATGAATGAATGAAGAATTTTGTTGTAATGAACTTGTGTACAAATGTTATTTCGTTTATGTTGTCAGTGGACTGTGTGAAATGAATGAAGTCTTGTGAAATGACTGTGTGAAATGGAATGGCCTGTATTGTCTGAAATTAATGAAGTCTTGTTATAAAAACTGGTCATAAACATGATGCAATAAAAATTTTGTGCAAAGTTAAGTTTGAAGTTCCTCCCTGCAGAGTGAGATTGGAGTTGTATGAAAATTGAAAGGATGATAGTGGTTGATTGAAAAATTGGATTAGGAAATTATAGAACATAATATTCAAGCGGGGTTAGTACTTCTAGTTCAATAAGTACGGATGAAGAATCCATGGATGAGGACAAAGGGTAGGTTGCAAATTGTAACTAAACAGTTAAGTGTAAACTTGTAGAGGAGAGATTGGAGAAACAAACTGGGTGGGGTGGTAGATAATCAGATTAGTAAATGAAATACATGAGAACATGTTTAGAATTTAACTAGGTAAAAACGTGGTCCTGAAATTGTGAATAAGCTTCAAAATGTGACTAAGTGTTAAAATTGTGGTCCTTCTTGGCTTTGAAGTGCTCAGTCTGGCTGAGGCTTTGAGTGCTCGGTCTGGCCGAGGCTTGGAAGTGCTCAGTCTGGCTGAGGCATTGAGTGCTGCTTTGAAGTGCTCAGTCTGGCTAAGGCTTTGAGTGCTCGGTCTGGCCGAGGCTTTGAAGTGCTCAGTCTGGCTGAGGCTTTGAGTGCTCGGTCTGGCCGAGGCTTTGAAGTGCTCAGTCTGGCTGAGGCTTTGAGTGCTCGGTCTGGCCGAGGCTTTGAAGTGCTCAGTCTGGCTGAGGCTTTGAGTGCTCGGTCTGGCCGAGGCTTTGAAGTGCTCAGTCTGGCTGAGGCTTTGAGTGCTCGGTCTGGCCGAGGCTTTGAAGTGCTCAGTCTGGCTGAGGCTTTGAGTGCTCGGTCTGGCCGAGGCTTTGAAGTGCTCAGTCTGGCTGAGGCTTTGAGTGCTCGGTCTGGCCGAGGCTTTGAAGTGCTCAGTCTGGCTGAGGCTTTGAGTGCTCGGTCTGGCCGAGGCTTTGAAGTGCTCAGTCTGGCTGAGGCTTTGAGTGCTCGGTCTGGCCGAGGCTTTGAAGTGCTCAGTCTGGCTGAGGCTTTGAGTGCTCGGTCTGGCCGAGGCTTTGAAGTGCTCAGTCTGGCTGAGGCTTTGAGTGCTCGGTCTGGCCGAGGCTTTGAAGTGCTCAGTCTGGCTGAGGCTTTGAGTGCTCGGTCTGGCCGAGGCTTTGAAGTGCTCAGTCTGGCTGAGGCTTTGAGTGCTCGGTCTGGCCGAGGCTTTGAAGTGCTCAGTCTGGCTGAGGCTTTGAGTGCTCGGTCTGGCCGAGGCTTTGAAGTGCTCAGTCTGGCTGAGGCTTTGAGTGCTCGGTCTGGCCGAGGCTTTGAAGTGCTCAGTCTGGCTGAGGCTTTGAGTGCTCGGTCTGGCCGAGGCTTTGAAGTGCTCAGTCTGGCTGAGGCTTTGAGTGCTCGGTCTGGCCGAGGCTTTGAAGTGCTCAGTCTGGCTGAGGCTTTGAGTGCTCGGTCTGGCCGAGGCTTTGAAGTGCTCAGTCTGGCTGAGGCTTTGAGTGCTCGGTCTGGCCGAGGCTTTGAAGTGCTCAGTCTGGCTGAGGCTTTGAGTGTTTGGTCTGGCCCAGGCTTTGAAGTGCTCAGTCTGGCCCAGGCTTTGAGGTACTGCAAAGGAAAATGTCATGGGAGCGATATGCAGGCAGTTGAATTATGAAAATTGAGAACTTCAGTCGGAATTTTGCATTATGTATTAAAGAGGGAAATACAACAATGTTGACAATACAAAAGTATGAACTCATTGATAGTAACGCTTCAAATGTTCCGTATTCTAGGGGTGGGGGAGGTCGCGGCCTTCCATGTCTTGAAGTCGGTAAGTGTCTGGTCGTGGTCGGGCTTTCACTACGTAGGGTCCCTCCCATTTGGCTACCAGTTTGCCCTCGGTTGGGTTCTTTGTGGCAAGAGTTGCTTCTCTTAAGACAAGGTCCCCCACGGAGAACTCTCGTGGTCGAACCCTGCGGTTGTAGTGTGTTCTCATTTTCTGCTGGTACGAAGCCAATCTGACAGCAGCAGTCTCTCGGAGCTCTTCGACGAGGTCCAGGTCTGCTCGATGGAGTTCGTCGGCTGAGGCCAGATTCGGATGTAAAACCCGGGGGGTGGGAAGACCGACTTCGACCGGAATAACCGCTTCAGAGCCATATGTTAAGCGAAAAGGGGTTTCCCCAGTGGGAGTGCGAGCAGTGGTTCGGTAAGCCCAGAGCACGTTTGGTAGTTCCTCAGCCCAAAGGCCTTTAGCAGCTTCGAGCTTAGTTTTGATGATTTTTAGAAGAGAACGGTTGGTGACCTCAACTTGGCCGTTTGCTAGGGGGTGACCGGGGGAAGAGAAGCATGGTTGAATCTGGAGATCTGCACAAAATTTTCTGTACTTCGCGTTATCGAATTGTTTGCCATTGTCAGAGATGATGGCTTGAGGGATGCCAAATCGGCAAATGATCGATTGCCGGATAAACCTGGTGGTGTCCCGCTCGGTGATTGTGGCAAGGGGTTCAGCCTCAACCCACTTGGTGAAGTAATCAATGGCGACAATCGCGAATTTGGTCTGGCCGTGACTGGTGGGAAGTGGACCAACCAAGTCGATCCCCCACTTGGCAAACGAATAAGGGATGTAGAGTGTGATTAACTCTGTAGAAGGAGCATGGGGGATGTTGGCGAAGCGTTGACATTTATCGCATTTGAGTACGAAGTCGGTCGCATCCTGATTAAGAGTTGGCCAAAACTACCCAGTACGGAGTATCTTGTGGGCAAGGGACCTGCCACCTGAATGATAACCACAAATTCCCTCATGGATCTCCTGCATTACATAAGTTGCTTGAGCTGGATTGAGGCATCGTAGATATGGCCGGGAGAAACCGCGCTTGTATAATACACCGTCGATGATGATGTAATTGGATGCTCGGGATCGGACTTTGGCTGCCTGCTGTTGGTCATCTGGGAGTGTCCCTATGGTCAAGAATAGGAGAATATCGGATGCCCAAGGGATGGGTTCGTTTTGGATGAACTGTACAGCTTGCAGGTCGGGTGAAATGGCCGGGTGGTGTAGGTATTTGAGGCGGACATCATGGCTGAGATTAGGATGGTCAGCAGAGGCCAACTGAGCCATCTCATCTGCTTTGGAGTTTTCCGCCCGAGGAATGTGCCTGATGTGGAAGGTAGTGAAGAGGCGAGTAAGGGGGAGTGCCATGTCCCTGTAAACGCGCATTGTGTCTTCCTTGGCATCGAAGTCCCCCGTCATCTGACCGACGACGAGCTGGGAGTCGCTGAATACTCGGAGGTGGCTGACCCCAATGTCCTTGGTAAGATGGAGTCCTGCTATCAATGCCTCATACTCGGTCTCATTATTGCTTGCTTCAAACAAGAAACGGAGGACACATTTGAAGTAGCCGCCCTCGGGGGAGGTGAGGATGAGGCCAGCACCACTTCCTTCTCGTCGAGACGAACCGTCGACATTGAGAGTCCAAGAATGAGGATCTTCTGGCTCTGTTGGAGTTGATGGGAGCGGAGGGGTAGTGGTCAGGGTCGGATTGGTGAACTCCAGGATGAAGTCAGCTACAGCTTGTCCCTTGATTGCTGTCCGAGGGCAGTAGGAGATGTCGAACTGGCTGAGTTCTACTGACCACTGCATCAGTCTACCTGAGAGTTCTGGTTGCTGCATGACCTTTTTCAGGGGCTGGTCGGTGAGGACCACTATAGAGTGGGCTTGGAAGTATGGGTGGAGACATCTGGAGGCAATGACCAAGACCAGAGACAGTTTTTCTAGTAAGGAGTAGTTCTGCTCTGCTCCTCTGAGAGCCCGACTGATGTAATAGACCGGCCGTTGGATTGAGCCATCTTCTCTAAAGAGAGCTGCACTGACTGCGGTGCTCGATACTGCTAAGTAGAGAAAGAGGGGCTCGCCCGTGATTGCTTGGGAAAAAAGGGGAGGGTTGGCCATGCATTGCTTTAACTGTTGGAAGGCCTCTTCGGATTCAGCTGTCCATTCAAAAGTCTGCCGAAGAACTTTGAAGAAGGGTAAACACTTATCTGTTGCACGGGAAATGAAGCGGTTGAGGGCTGCCACTCGGCCGGTGAGTCTTTGAACTTCTTTGACCGTCCTAGGCGACTGCATCTCAACCAAGGCCTTGATCTTCTCAAGGTTAGCTTCGATGCCGCGCTGACTGACCATAAAGCCCAAAAATTTGCCAGACCCTACGCCGAAGGCGCACTTCTCTGGGTTGATCTTCATCTGGTACTTGCGCAAGGTGGCGAAGGTCTCGCGTAAATCAGTGAGGTGATCGGAGGAGTATTTGCTTTTGACTAGCATGTCATCGACGTAGACTTCCATATTCCGACCTATTTGGTGATGGAAAACGGCATTAACCAGCCGCTGATAAGTGGCCCCAGCATTCTTCAATCCGAACGGCATTACACACTAGTGGTAGGTACCTCGGTCGGTAATCAATGATGTGTGCTCCCGATTAGATGTGTGCATCAGGATTTGGTTGTACCCAGAGAAGGCATCCATGAAACTGAGCATTTGATGACCGGCCGTGGCGTCGACCAGCAGATCTATGCGGGGAAGGGGGTAGCTGTCTTTGGGACAGGCTCGGTTCAGGTCAAAGTAGTCGACACAGAGTCGCCATTTGCCATTGTGTTTGCGAACGAGGACCACGTTGGACAACCATCTAGGGTAGTCCACATTTTTGATGAATTGGGCCTCGAGGAGCTTGTCAACTTCTGCGGCTATAAGAGTGTTGCGCTCTGGATGGAAAATGCGTTGCTTCTGGTGGTGGGGTCGAAAGTGGGGTTCGATGTTGAGGCGGTGGGTTATGAAGGAGGGGTCGATGCCTGGCATGTCAGAGTGGGTTTAGGCGAATACATCTCTATGCTCAGTCAGGAGAGCGGTAAGGTCGGCCTTGGCTTGGGAAGGTAGTTGGCTGCCAATTTTGGCGGTTTTGATTGGGTTGGTGGGGTCGATGTTAACTTCA